TTTCAGATATTCAACGGAGTAAACGGATTGAAGGCATTCGAACAATCTTCGAACTTTAACTTTGAGCTGGAATTCCAAGCCCAGAGGCACAAAGGAAACCTGCAAACGAGCCGGGCATTTGAACATTTGAACATTTGACCAGGCCAGCCCCTCGCATGTTGAAAGCTCAAAGGCGGCCAAGTGCCTGTGATTCTCTGGCTTTGGATTGCCAACGGAAACCCAGAACTCAAAGCTCACTTCCAGGACGAAATCCAATTGACAGACAAACATGCATGCAGACCATCGATAAATGGAAACCCACAAAAAAAAAAAAAAAAACGCTTGGACTTGGACCAAGGCTTGGGATTCTGTTCACTTTTTGATGGCCCACTGGTAAAAAAATGGGATTGTTTAATGGGAAATTTTAATTTAAAAATTCTACTAAATTAGTCAAATATTTACTTTATTTTATTGAATTTAAATAAATATTACGAAAATGTAAACCATTTTCCATCAAGAACGCACTTTTTCATTCATTTTCCATTTTTCCTCTCAGTGTCAATGCACCAAGGCAAAAGTGGCCAAGAGGTAATAAATGCAACTGGAATATGAAAAATCAAACCTCAAATCAAGACTAAATTTCTTACATCCTTTAATCCATTAAATTTCCTGATTTTGAACTAAAAATTTATTGCTTTCCGCAAGGCGATTTGCCGAAATTAGTCAAAGTAACTGAGAAGGCAATCAGGGCAATCGGACTTGTACTTGGACTGAGTGAGAGGGAAGAGCACCAAATAGTTTTTCTCATTTTTGGGCTGGGCTGGGGGAATTTTCAAATGAAAATCAAGCTCGGCTAGATGGCTTTGACCTAACCTCACATTCAAGTAATTGACATTCTGTTGCGCTATTCGAAACCAGGAGGAAGGATCCAGGACTAAGGACCACAAGGAGCAGGCGGTTCAATTGCAGCTCCTTTTGCTTGTCTTGCCGGGGATTTATTGCAACCTCAGTTGTTTGCCATCTTGGTGATGGCGGTGGCTGATGCTGCTGCTGCTAGCCTTAGCTCTTTTTCTCAACTTTCAGGTTCTATTCGTCTATATGCTCGTACTTTTTTTTATGGGCGTACATCTAAGCCGTCATTTCGGAAAACGACGCCCATTGCAAGCCGAGATTTGATCAGTTGTTTGCTTTCGCTTTATATATATATCTTTCACTGTTTTAAAATTGCACTCATGTGACTTTGGCTCAGTCACTCGACGCTCGTCTCCACTCGCCCATACAATGGGCACACAATGAGCTGCAAACTGTCAAATGGAAGGTCTTCTGTACATCATTCAATGCCCTTTCTAAGGGTAAATTACTTTTTAGAAAGCAGTTTTAGGTCTAATCGGTACGTCTCTTTTATTTCAATTTCGCAACCAAATGCAATCGAAAAATGCTAGCCAGCAATGATCTTATCTAAGCTTAATCTCGTTTCATCGATTATCGGAATCATATCGATATTTAAGGTGACCATATAGTCAGCTTACTACATTTATTAGTTGATATATGCTATGGCAATATTTTGATGTAATAGACAATATTTTGTCCAATAAATTACAACTTTAAGGGCTTACCATTAGTTTAAGTGTATAAATATTTCATTATTGATATTACTAACATTATATCTACTTTGCTTAAACAGGTTTTTCTGTATTTTATAAATATTTAACTGAATTATAAATAAAATTTCCAAGCAATAAACAAAACCTTTGATTGTACATCGTTAAAAAGATTGTAGTTTGTTGATTTAATAATATATTTAAAATTGTAACTGGTCTGTACTTAAGCCTTTTATTAAGATATATATAGAGTTGATTGATGTCTTCAAGTTTTGAATTTTAATCTCAATCTTAGCTAAGAAGATAGTTTGATCATTAAGTTTAATAGTTTTGCCTCCTTTAGAAATATTAAATCTTATATTATATTTTAAAATAAGTTATTAGAGTATCTCCCCAACAAATATCTCCATCAATAATATCCATTTTAAAGCCCATTCCCAGCAATCTGCCCATTGTAACTGCAGTTCTTGAGCAAACAGTTTTTTTCCTGCAAATTGTATCTGTACTTTTATGTGTTTTATCCTCCGTTTTTCTTTTTTTTTTTTTAAGTTTTTTAGTTGGTCCTTGGTGGCTGCTCTATTCTAAAGCGACAACAGAATAAATTTTGGTTGGACAATTTTGTTTCATTTTTTTTTTTTTTTTGTAGGTCTGGTTTGGGGTAAATCCCCAAATGCAGGCGACTCGAGCTATCCAGAAACATACGATGCACATTCATATTCATTCTGGTTCTTAGGGTGGAGGAAACAGATCTTTTGGGAATTAGACGAGTACTAACACATAAAAGTGAGTTTATCCTTTAATTTAAAATTTCACACATTTCTGCAAGTTTTCTTTCGATTTAGTTGTTTTATTGCTGGGCCATTAATTATGGATTTTATTTTCCGGAAAAACTTTTAAAATGCTTAGGCGTTTATTTGCTCTTCGCTTGTTTGGGAAAGACACTACTTTTTAATTTATTTAAAAGATTTTCCTACTAGTATGTGTGCAGGCATGTGTGTGTGTATTTCTGACTAAATCCTGGCCTGGAAATCCAACTCTAATTGGCAGACTTCCGGCAGCCTCTGTCAAACATCCTTGCAGATAAAAACCAAAGTCCAACAATAAGAAGAAGAAAAAAAAAGGAGAAAAAGAATTCCAAGGGTGAGGCGAGTCGAGTTGAGTTTTTCGTTACAACAGTTTTTCCTTGGTACTTTATGTAAATGATGTTGGATTACGCAAATATTTACATTATTTTCCTCGCCATAGGTTAGTTTTTCCAGCTTTCAGAAATATTTATTTATTCAATGCGATTGTTGCCTTTCGCTGGAAGTGAATTGAATGCTTCTCATTCGATTTAAGCATAATTCAATTATTTCCGTTTAATTTTCAACAAATACTTGATACTTGAACGCATATTCCATTTGCATATTTGTCAGAATAAACTTGGGGTACGGGGGGAGGAGGCATTAAAAGAAAAGTTGAAAATCAGCCAAATCAAAAAGCCAAAAAGTTCCTTGGCATTTGTTTTAATCTTTTGCGAGTCTGTGAACTTTCCGAAGAAAGTCACTTTGGTGTGAGTTTTTGTTGGATTTAAACGGAATATATGATTTGTATAAGCCTTTATTTAAGAATTCTGATTACCACTAGTATATGAGGTTTTAAGTTCTGTTTCATAGACTCTAACTAAAAAAAATTCAAATTTACATAGCCATATATTGCTTTCCAACTCTTTTTCTAAATATTCACTTTTTAAATTTAGATTTTTAGCGAGAGCAAACAAAATTTGCTTTTTATTTCGTTTTTACTTTTTTGTTGTTTTTTAACTTTTTTCTATTTAAATTATCGCAAAAATGTTGGCGGGCAACAAAAAAGATGAAGAAGCGAAATGAATGGAGGGAAATGGGTGAAACCGAATTTGACGTTGAAAAAAAATTCCTTTGACTTGTTACATTTTTCAACAATTTGCCTCGTACTTCCCGTGCTCTTTTATTGCTTTACGTTTGTTTTGGTCTATTTTCAAATCTGTTTGCCAAAGCGAGTTTTTTGTTTGCACATTTCCAAATTTGTTTTTCTGCCTTTGTACGTTTTGTTCTTTCATTTTTTTTTTTTTTTAACAAAATGAGGGTCTATGTTTATATATATTTTAAATTGGGCTCATAGACATAGGCTGGCTTCATTATACATTTTTAGCAGGAATTTATTTGTTTTTGATATGGGCCTAGCTTTAAATGAAAATCTATATTATAGGTTTAAAATGGTTTAAAGCTGTTTAATTTATAAAAAGTAGAAGTGTAAGCCCTTATAAATATTAAATATAAATATTGTTTTATTTTATTTTAGAAATGCAGCTAAATTGTAAACTGTCTAACTGTCTTTCATAAAAACTAGGGTTTTATTTTATCAATGTTGATTATTCTACATTAAATATTTAAGCCAGGCTTTGTTAGCATATAAATGGTTAACTCCCTTTCGATTTTTCTCTTAATTTTATTAGCCTAGTCAATTTATGACAAGTTCCTTATATATTTTTAACCCATTTTTTCATTTTTTAAGAATAATTTTAAATCTCTTTTTATAAACTTTAATCCTTACAATAGTTTCACAACCAAATATCTCTTTATTTGTATTTTATTTTTTTAACAAAACTATCCTCTATATATTAAGCTTTATATATTTGATCTCGTTCGTAGGTTTTTGTGTCATTATTTATTTTTGAAATATTTATTATGCCACTTGTTCTAGGTGGCAGCTGTACTCTCTCGTTGTCCATTGTGTATCGTTTGAGCGGCAAAAGAGCAACAACAATCCACTTTCCTGCGATGCCTATGATTGTTTGGCTTTCTTTTTGTTGTTCAATTAAATATATTCCAGTGCACCCCCAAACCATACATCCCACTAACCATCCATCTCCCTCTGCCAACACTTCATTCCTCCTCTCCACGCGTTTGTTGTTATTAAAAAAGTTTTTTATTTGAATTTCCATGAGTGGAGGACCAGCAGCAGCACCGGGTAAAAGTGGCAAAATAAAAAACATTCAAAATTTATTCATACTCCTACAGAAAAAATAAATAAATAATCCAGCAAACCAAAATAATAAAAAAAAACAGCCCGACAAAGCGATAATAACTGACCGATTGGGTAAATTTTGTAATTATTATTACCAATATACCCAGAAATACTCAGCAGCAAAACCCCCCCAAAAAAAGGCGAGAAAAAATTAATAACGAAACTTTTGCAATCACCTAGGGAGGTCTTATATGAGGTAATCCAATCGCTAGAAACAAAAAACAAAACAAAAGAAAAATAAGCAAATCTAAAGAATTGAGCTTGGCAAATACGAATTTTGTGTGTGTTTTTCGTTTAATTGCTTAATTTAATTTGCATGAAATCCACAGCAAGACAAACAAAGGCAAAGCTTCAATGGAAAACCGAAAAACCTACCAAAGTTCTTTTTGTTGAGGCGGCTTCGTTGTTGTTGTTGTTGTCGTTGTCGGCGGCAAACAAACAAAAAAACACTCGAAAAAATACGTTTCGCAAGTTGTCGCTTTAGTTGTTGTTGTTTTAATATTTTTTCTTTCCTTTTTGTATTTAACACTTCACTGGCTACTTTTGCATGTCTCAAGAACACTGCCCAAAAGCGGTTAAACAATATTGATGTTGGGTCGAAAATTTGGCTCTTCTTTTTATTGATTTCAATATACGATTTATATAGATTCTGTTGGGTAATTTTTTATGCACTTGCAGGCAAAATTATGCGCTCACAGCACAGCACTCGTTAATGATATTCTTTTCGTATTTCGAACGCACTTGTTTATGACTTTGGAACGACTTATGTTTCTTATTCTGCTTTTTGCTTTTGTTGTAATATTTTTACGAGAGATTTTCCACGATCTTAGCACCAGAACTTTTCCAGCTCAGCTTGGTTTGAACTCCGTTAGACGACTGAATCGCTGGCTGGCGAGCCATCGCAATTTTATACCTCTGTTCTCGAGTCGCAAAAAGCTCGGCTTTTAGCTTCGGGTTTTTTGGTCGTCTTAATTGATGGCCAGGGGAGATCTATAGCTTATGCGCAGGCGCTACGCTGTTCGTGGAAAAAAAATATAAACACAAAGCAGCTGGCTGAACTCAGCTGTTTTTTGGCCAAAAGCCGGCAACAACAAGCCACACATGTGGCTAATAGAGGGGTGTTTAGAGGGGAGAGGTTGTATTTTATCGGGAGAAAGAGCAGGTTAAAGCTTCGGCAATGCCGACTGCGCAAAGACAACAATTCCATGTTGTTCTTGCCCCACGAAAAACCAAATAAAGCAAGGTAAAGCGCCTAAAACACAAACAGCCGCAACACCAATAATATCTATGGGGCTTTAACAGGTGGCAATGTCATGATTTTGCAGCACAGAAAACAATTTTTATATTTTCGATTTAATATCGTATCGGTTATAGATTTAATTTATAAGTCATAAAAAATTATTTGCATATTCTTTTAACTGAATTGAAAAATTAGAACGAAACAACACCGAAAAATAATACATACTAAAAATACTAATACTAAAAAATACTTATTATTTTATGTTTTTATTTTCATAAAAAGCATTCGGTATATTAATCGATTGTAAATTAAATACTATTTAAATTTAGAAGATTCTTATTATAAAAATTTTCATTACCTAACTTAAAACCTTTTTCTTTAAGTGATTGTTGCCCTTTATGAATATTATTATTATTGCACACAACGCAATTGTAAATTTTCAGCGTCATTAAATTAATTTAATTGATTATTTTTGTTCACTTTATTTGCACGTTGTGTGTCGTTTTTTGCAACAATTGTTTACCTTTTATCGGTTCATCTGTTGATTGCTAATTCCCAAAAAGTTCGTCGCAAAAAACTTCGTCGCAGAAATCGAATCAATTCAAATCGAATCGCAAAAGTAACGACAACAGAAACTGGCCAAACTCGCTTTAATTAGAAGCTAAATAATATTATGTAGACGGTATAAAAACGAAATTTGGTACTTAGACATGCCAAATGGTAAATATTAATGCGTAGCGAGTTTCTTGAACTTTCATTCTAATTTATTTATTTCAACCGAATCACGTGGATAACATCAGAAATTTAATAATAGATAAGATCTTAGTTATGAATATTCTAAATGTTAATTTAAGTTAACGGAATCAACGACATCTTTACTTTTTATGTAAATTCATTTTTATATATTTTATTATAGTTCTTCTATTTCAATATTTACAAACTTGTTTACATATTTAATTTATGTCATATTATTTTTTATAACTCTGTACACTTTAACTTTTAAAATCATTACAGTTAAAAAATATTCAAAGATTTTTCTATCCTTTTTTTTATCAAGATCATTTACTTTTAAATAATTAAGCAAAAAACTATTTTATTAGGTATCGATTTTTGAAAAACGATTAATAAACATAATGAGTTGCCTGATTGTCATATTTTGGGTAATATTTGGCGCTTTTAATTTGGTCATATTTTTTAAGCTGTAACTTACAGTTAATTGTTTTTCGCAATCCTTATTGCACGTTTTTTTGTCGTCTTTGTGCTCGTAAAAAATTATTTTTAAATTTACATAATGGAACGCTACAATCGCGTCTATAGAGGTACTATAAACCCTTCAACTTCTAATAAAACTAAATTAAAATGAATCCTATAAATTACAACAGATCCCGCATCTCCATTGGCCCCTATAACTCCCCTCACGGATGAAGCTTTTTCATTTGATGGTGTCACGCCCAGGGCAACCGGTGCTAAGAGGGGCTTAGCGAAAACTGGTCTTTTTGGAATCCCAAAAGCCAATAATCTTACTGTTCCAGGATGTCGACCATCAGCAGCTTCAAAAAGTCTTTCAGACAGTCGTTTGCCTAAACGTTTTTCACGGAGTTTCATGGAAAGACGATCTGTATTTTCACCAACTAGTCAAAGTACCCTTTTAAGTGGAGGAACTACTTTAGCCGGAGATTCGTGCATTCCGGTAGATTCAAAGATACGGACAAAAAGGGAGAACACTTCGAAACCGGATATTCGACTGCATCAGGAAACGCGACTGAAGCAGGAGACATCCAAGTTAAGAAGTGAAAGATCAAAAATTAAAATGGAGGAGCCCAAGACTCCCGTGCCCAGTATTATTCATTCACGTTACAAACCTTGCTCCCCAGTGGAGCACCCCACCTTAAGTCCTCGTGTTAAGACCCTGCTCGATCGCACTGGGAATAAACACCTCACGGAGTTATTCACCCGTCAAGAGATCGACATCGAAGTGCTTATCCAAATGACCCTGGAGGATCTGGCGGCGCTGGGGGTTCGAGGTGCCCGGGAGATCAGGTTGGCCATGAATATCATCCAACTGGCCAAACAGTTCTTTTAATTTTATAATTTCGTGATTATTTTATAATGTTTTATGTCATGTGGATTTTCATTTGTAATTGAGATTTTAATAAATGTTTAATGTGGTCATAAAAGTTGGATTTAAATTTGTTAATTTTAACACGAAATCCAATTTACGGAATTAAATTTCCATTCGGAACGGTACTTTCTGAAATCGGTAATTAAAGATTTTGTATATTTCACATTGAAAATTTATTTTTACTGTGAAATTTTTGCTGAATAACTATCAGCGTCATCAACCATAAGTCCGTACTAAGTCAAGGCCTTTTACATAGAAGCGTTGCTGAATACAGTATTAACGTCCCCTGCTATGGTGTAAGTCTAGGCTAAGTCACGGCCTTGCCACTATGGTATTTATTTCAGTACATTATCATGTTCGATCTGGTATATATAAAAAATCAAAACGCGGTCACTTTGAACACGTGTTTGCCTGAAGAACCGCCGTTTAAACAAAATATCCACGTTTTTTAACAGAAAAACAATGGTTAAAGTGAAAGTAGAAAATGCCGACGCATCCGTGGAGATCAGCGGCGATGTTACAATCAAGGAGGAGGAGTCATACGACGACAAATTGGTCTTCGTGAACGCTATTGCCAAGCCGATGGCAGGTAAAAAACTAGCCAAAAAGTGCTACAAGTTGGTGAAGAAGGCCATGAAGCACAAGACTTTTCTGCGAAATGGATTGAAGGATGTGCAGACTCGCCTGCGCAAGGGTGAAACTGGGTAAGTAATAGTTACAGTATTTCTATAAAACCAGAAACTAATCTCTATGTGTTCTTTAGAATTTGCATCTTTGCTGGTGATGTGACACCTGTGGAGATCATGTGCCATTTACCCGCCGTTTGCGAGGAAAAGGGCATTCCATATGCCTATACACCAAGCCGAGCAGATTTGGGAGCTGCAATGGGCGTTAAGCGGGGTACAGTCGCCCTCTTGATCCGTCAGAACGATGATTACAAAGATCTGTACGATGAGGTCAAGGAGGAGCTATCCGGGCTGAATATACCCGTGTAGATTTGTAGTCTTCTGCTAATTAAGTACTTAGTTAAGTTAAAACAAAAAAGCCTAATAAAGGTCAGAAAATGCCGATTTTTTGGCAACAACAAAGCATGTCGGTTTACTTTTTATGCAATTATAATTATTATAAATCTTCACATACTAGCACAGTTAAATATGTTAATGCAGATTTACTTTATCAACGACTATATTTTTCGACTTCTATTGGAACTCCTCGTTAGTACGATATCTTTATCCCTTAAGTTTTATTAAACTATGACTTTCTTGATTTTTAAATTACCCAAAAACCAAATATCCAAACATGTTCATTAAAACTGATATTTTCTACAAAAATCACAACTTTTTTTAAATGTGGAATTTTTGAATTGATGAATTAACCAATATTAAATGTTTTTGAAATTCTAATTATATTTCTTTAACATTTAAATTGAGATAAAGAAAAATATCTGCTCAACCCTACTTTAATATATTTGATTATTTTAGTTTTTGGTATAAGTCCATAAGCTTAGAAGCTTTGTAGATCGGACTTTACCTTTGAGCAAATTTCGTTTTCGAATATATATAAGGCTCCTGCAATAATATTGAATAACTTTCTATAAATCCAATACAGCAATTTGACGAAGTTTAAAGTTAATTTTGTTTATGGAAGTACTTTCTGATGCAGAGAATGAAGCATTTTGGGTTTTAGTAACTTCAAATCCGAACAGACGAGAAAAACTGATGAAGACTTGGAAGATCTTACTGCCTGCAAAAGAAACCAAAATTTCAAGATTGTTTGTTTTTTTTTTGCTGTCCCTTGGGGATCTTTTTTGTTTTCTCTTTTTTTTTTGTGATTTCTTTTTTTATAAGTATTTTCAGCGTAGCTGGTTTCATATAAATTGTTTTACATATACAATACAGTTGAAATGGAGGAATTTCGTTAGGCTTCTGGTTTCTGTTCATGTTGTGCTCGATGTGTGGTGTCCGGTTCGATATTATTTTCTTTTTTTTTTTCGTTTTAGTTAGTTGCTGTATGTGGTGTGTTGTCTAAATTTACATATAATTTAACACTAAGTGTGTTCGTGTGTTTCGGTATGCAATGTATGTATTTCCTAGAAGATCGTTTAACAAATGACATGAGTGAAGTTGGTTGGATTTGGTAGAGGGTATGGGATATTATTAAAAGTACAATTTCTTGTTTATTAAATGTAATTTTCGTTCTTTTTTGTTTCCGCTTTTTTTTGTTGTTGTTTTGTTTTAGGTTTGTTATGCGTGTTACATTGGTTAAATAATTACAGTTATATAAAGTTAATATGTTTATGCTAATCCAAGTCGCTAGCCAAAATACTACGATAAAACTCAAAGATCGGTTAAATACTCTTATCGAAAAATTCTTATATATTTTTGTTTTGTATGCATTTCTCTTTCGTATGTTTTACATTTACCAGTCGTCAAATCGGACTAAACGATGAGTGGAGGTGTGGGGGGGGGGGTTAATTTGGAGATGATTTCTGCAAATTGAAGGGGTTAAAGGTCAACAATCGTAATATAATTTACACACACGCATCGACAATTTCGGGGATGGGCAAAGGAACAAATAACTCGTGCACAAATTTAAATATTTATATGCATATTATATATATAAATATATATATATATATATTATATGTATGTTCGTATGTAGGTAAGTTTGTTTAATTCGTACACAAAAATGTTCATATCCCTTATAGCCATTAAATATATGTATATATAATTGGTATATAATCTGAAGTTACAATTAATAAGGATAATAATTTATGTATTTGAGTGCGTGACAAAATTTTCAGTTTTTAATGGTTTTTGTTAATATTTTTTTTTTCTTTTTTTTTTTTGTATTTTTGTTTAGAATAGTCAACTCCTGTACAAAATTGAAATTTATAACTGAGAAATTAAAGGTAGAAAACGAACTGAAGTGGTTTACACGTAGCACTCATACATATGCATGCTACGCACTAAAAATAGAAAAAAATTTACAATACAAATGTTCTTGAATAATCTTATGTCCTAAAGCTAACTATGCATTTTGCAGTTTATAGTTATTACATAATTATTTCATTTTTTTTGTGTTTTTTTTATGTTTGTTTGTTTTAGTTTTTTTTTTTGTAAAGTTTTTTAATGTTTTTTTGTTGTTGTTTGTTTGTTGTATGTTTCAAAGTCTAATCGATAAGGTTTTCTTGTGTAGGCGTTTAGATTTTATTTAGATTTCTGGGCTGCTCAGAGCAACCCATTGGATGCTGCATACCGATGGAGGCGCCTGAGGCGACCTTGGGCTTTGAGGGACATTACAGACACGGTAGGCTGGATGCGAGGATAACAAAAGGGAGCAGGATTGAAGGCCATGGGGTCAACAACAACGTCAACAAGTCCCTGCTGCGGCATTTGGGCGAGCTTTAGTAACCACTAAACATTAACTAAATAGGTATGTATGTATATTATTAATTAATTATAATAATTCACACGTTTAACTTAAGGCTACCATAATTAAATAATTTGCAATTTAAAAGAAAGCAAAAAATAAGGATAGGGGCAACTATAATTAAGAAGCAGTTCTTTTTCGTTTTCTCTTCCGTTTTTTCCCATTTGCTGGGGCATTTTTTACGTTTTTTTTTTTTTGTTCAGCTAAGAATTTTGCAATTTTTTTTTTGTTGTTAATTTTCTGTTTTTTTGTTTCGTTTTTTTTTTTTGTTTTTCCTTTTTGTTTCGTTTTTAGATTTAGACCCTTTGATGCCACAGCAGGAGAAGTGCTGCCGTCACCGCTGCTCCTCACTGAAAGTAATTGTAGAATCCGGTTGTGGCCTGTCCCAACTCACGGATAGCCGCAAACGGATCCTTCTCTAGAAGATCGTTTCCACCGCCCGCCTGCACTCCTTTGCCGCCTGCTCCTGATCCTGCCACGCCAGCCTGTGTCTGTCCCGGCGATGGTCCTGCCCCACCGCCTCCGCCAACCACCGCCTGTGGTCCCTGGCTCAGCACAGCCGCATATGTGGTTGCCGAAGAGCCAGAGGACTGTTGGTGATGATTGGCCGCCTCCGAATGTGGTACATTGGGCGCCATAGCCTGGAACAGATCCATGTCATGGCCACCCTTCAGCGTATTGAAATTGTTGTACAACAGGCCATGCATATGATCCGACGACTTCACCGAGTGATCCACCACCGAGTTATTGGCCTGAAAGAGTGCCTCTATCAAATTGGCGCCAGCGTCCATTCCATGCATATTGTTGTAGCCACTATTTCCACCTCCGATTCCATTTCCGGTTAACGCCTGTCGGCGATACAATGGCACTGAGTTGTTGTTGCCATTGCTCAGCATTCCGTTGTTGTTATTATTGTTATGTCCACCGACACCTCCGCCGCCGATTCCCATGCCGACACCGCCAACACCGGCGTTGTTTACGCCTACATTGTTGTGCATATTTAGGTTGTTGTACGGCTTGTCATTAAGCAGCGCATTCCCAGCTGTGGATATGGAAATTGTATTAAAAAAGTTAACTAAATAATGAATGAAGGGATCCATGACCCGATGATGTCAAGGAATCTGTCTGACTTACCATTTCCCAAAAAATTGGTATTTCCAACGCCGCCCAAATTATTGCCGCCGCCATTGGGAGGTGCCTGATGTAGACCAGGTCCGCCCAGATGATTGGGATAGAGGGGACCAGGTCCTGGCGGTGGCTTCGACTGTTGCTGCTGCTGTTGTTGCTGCTGCTGCTGTTGCATCATGGCAAAGAGACGGCTCTGCTGCTGTTGCTGCTGAAGATCGACACCGTTCAAGCCGTTGCTAAGCGGAGGACCAGGAGCATTGCCCGTGCCAGCCACCATGCCCAAGACATCTCGCAATATAGGCTGTGCAATATCATTGGCTCCGTTCATGATCGAGTTGAAGACCAGATCGATCTGTTGGTTAAAGTTCTCCAGCGGCGGTGAAGCATCCACCGACTGCTGTGGCGGCTGCTGCTGCTGTTGTTGTTGACCTTGGGGATACATCATGGGATATTGAGGCCGCTGAACATGTGGATTGTTAAGCATCGGATTGTTGACCATCTGTTGCTGCGGTGGCTTATGTTGTTGTTGCTGCTGCTGCTGTTGCTGTTGTTGCTGCAGTGTGGCCATCACTTGGCGTAGCATATCGGCGAATTTGTTGGCACCTTCCTGTCCCACGTTTTCAAGTAGCTTAAGATACCACTTATACTGTTCTTCTTTCGGATTAAAAGCCATTTCATAGATGCTCACATTGGGCGGCAGTAGCTCATGGGTCAGTGGACCAAATCTCATGGAGCTCGGCGATGGTTGTTTGCCAGCATACATAAACGGATTGGGTGGTGGCTGTTGTTGCTGCTGTTGTGGTGGTGGTGGTGCTCCTGGATTATAGCCACTTCCATTGTGCCGCAAATAGGGAGGCGGTGGTGGACCGTTCTCCATAGGTGACATGGGTCCATTCGGCACACTGCTGCCTCTCTGCATGCCCATCGGCGGTGCCTGCTGTTGTTGCTGCGATGGAGGCGGTGGTGGCCCAGGTCCAGGTCCATAGAGCTGATGATGCGGCGGCGCTTGGCCATGGTTGTAGAGCGTCTTCTTGGCCAAGTAGCCAAGTTCGCTGGGATTTCTTAGCAGTTGAGCAGCCGCCGAAGCATTTGGCGGAGGTGGCGGTACACTACCACCTCTCAAGGGAAGCGAAGGATTTGCATTAAGTGGCGGTTGCAAAGGTCCTGGTCCACGTCCTGAAGCACTGACTGGCGGTGGCTGAGGCTGCTGGGGCTGCTTACTTGGCGGCAGCACACTCCATGGATTTGTTTGTGGCGGTGGGCCCCACAAGCTGGCATTCGGATTTTGTGGTGGCTGCTGTTGTCCAGGTCCCGGCCCTTGATTTTGTCCCTGCTGCGGTGGCCGCCAATGCTGCATGGCTGGATATTGACCATATGGTGGTGGTGGTCCACCTCCTCCGCCACCACCTCCGCCTGGTTGCTGTGTGGGTGGCGGACCTCCGGGTGGCATTCCTCGCAAATGCGGCGCCTGTGGTGGTGGTCCTCGCATACCCATATGTCCTCCACCGCCTCCGCCGCCGTAGTGTGGCGGTGGTCCTGGTCCAGGACCGGGACCTCCTCCGGTTCCGGGTCCAGGACCATTTCCAGACTTTCCTCCGACGGCAGCTGCAGCGGCCATCATCGCCGCCACATGGGTGGAGTACATGTGGGAGAACTGTTGATTTGCCATGGCAGCGGCCATTTGATTCATCTGATGAGCAGTGGCCGCCGGTCCAGGACCCAACATACCAGCTGCATTGGCAAAGTGAGCCGGAGGACCCGGTGGGCCGTGACCACTATGTCCATGTTGCGGTCCATTTAGATAGAGAGCAGCCTGCTCCCGCAGATACGCCTCCGGTTGAAGGGCACGTGGGACAAACTCCGGGGCCAAAGGATTTAGAACATAGCCACGTTTCAATTCTACGCCATCCAATTGTGAACGCAGATTCGACCAAGTCAAACCAAAAAGAGACTTATGTTCGTCACAGATCTCGATGAAACGCTCCCACACCTTCCGGCAACGACCAATGGAGCAAAGAGCTACTGGATCACCAACCACTGCTACCAAAGATTGGGCACGAGTGATAGCCGTGTTAAGCAGTTTGGAGTTACTCAAGAAACCATAATCCGTATCGGCATCGCCAATGCTGGCCGAGGCGGCTGCTCCGGGGGCACTTCCTTGGGGCATGCAAGTGCGTCGGGTTCGAACTGTGGAGAGGAAGACCGCTCTGAACTGTTTACCCTGAACGTTTAGCACTCGCTCCACGGATATTCCACCCATACGGCGTTTCCTCAGCTCGGAACGAATGCGAAACACCTGATCCGCGTAGGGAGTCATGATGCCAATGCTGGTATCGTTTAGTTTACCCCAAGCACTTGGCCAACGTTTCCGTAGCTCGGAAACCCTTTCCACCACCTCATAAACCTCAGCATTATTATAAAAAGCAGTTGAGTTTTTATCCTGAACATCCTCTCCTCTGGTAGTAAAGAAGGTCAAAGGATAAAAGCGCTCGTGCCTTGGTTGTTTACCGGAAGCCACCAGCTTTTGTTCGTAGAACAGCTCCGAGGTGAAACGGATGATGGCCTCGTGTGCACGATAATTCTCGCAAAGCAGAATCTTGCATGGAAAGTTTGAGGGATAGTGGTCGTATAGCCGCTCCAAAAGTGATATATGCAGCTTTCGTTCCTTGGCAAAGGCAGAGAACAGCTCTGGACTCATTTGCATATGATCTCCGGCCAAAACGATCCTTGTAGAATCATTTGCCAAAGCCAGCGGCATAATAGCTTCGCATTCCATTGCCTGAGCAGCTTCGTCCAGGAAGATATGGGTGAACAGACCCTTTGGCAGCCCTAGAGTGGCCAACTCCATACTGATACTCAGGGTAACCACTACGATCCTATGTCGCATTATATCCTCCACGCTCGGCCGCCGGAAGTTGCCCACTCCATCCGTTATACAATACTTTTGCACAACACTGTTAACGGTTGCTGACCATCTTTTGTGGTAATAAACTCTCAACGGTGTGGCCTCCTCCAAACCCTCCTCGATCCACGGGTGCAGGTACTCCTTGATATACAGATCAGCTGCTGAATTTGAGTGCGTGCAGATCAGGATCTTGGCCTCCGGTTGGGCCAGCAGTTGTTTAATAGCTTGAGCCAGTGTGTAGGTTTTTCCTGTTCCAAAGGGTCCTATTAGCAGGATGGGTGGTAACTTAATGCTCAGAGCCGTGGTGATGGCATTTACGGCCTCCCTTTGTTTGGCATTCAACTTGGGTTCACAGGCATCGGCCCACTGTTTCTTCGGTGTCCAAGGTATACTCGGTTCCAGTTCGGTGGCAGGAAAGATCAACCGAAAATCAGTAATCTTATCCACAGCATTGTGCCACTCACAGTATGGCATTCGATTCAACTGGAATTGTATATCCACATCCAGTTCAGTATCCGCTTGAAGACCCATTGCTTCTACACATTTAGCGGATAGTTTCAAGTAAATCACATTCTTGCCTTTGTCCTCGATCAACGCCTCGTAAACAGCACGATTATTGGGATCTGCTTTGGAATCGGGCTCCTCAGGTTTTGAGATGTATACACTGCTGCAGTTGGAGAGAATTAATCGGCCAGGAGATGTATCCTCCGAAATATCCTTACCCAAACGCATGAGAGCAAATAATTCACCGGCCAGGGAATATTTAGCTGTACTTGTAGCCATACCCGCTGGCGTGAGGATATAATTCGAGGCCACTGTTAACCGTGTCCTTACATTATACCTTGCTATCTGCTCATAGCGGGCAATCTCCTCTACTGACAATAACTCATGGATGCGGGAGCGGTAGTTATTCTGCGTCAACCGCTTCTCCACAATTGTTGATTGTGTCAATGTGAAAGTTGCTGCCCTGGGGCAGGGATACCTCTCTAACAGCTCCCTCTCGTGCTCTAGATCGGTGAGATAGGTATCTGTCTTTAGATGAGTGCCAATTGTGGTTTCAAACCGTGTAAGCTGCGTATTGGCAACATCCCATCGAGTGGCCGAGCTGTTGATAATGTCCCGCTTGATCTCCTCGATTTTCTCCGCATCATTCACAGGCAACACATCCACGCACAGATGCCGAACAAGCAAAGGTTCCTGACCCACGTCAAAGCAGATGGCTTGACGAAACGTTCCATAGATTTCCGTGTGAAACTCTACGGTGATTTCATGGGTCAACGTGGCCGAGTCATCGCTGGATGCCTCCGTTTGAGCCGTACTGCTTGCCACCCACTCTTGATCGGATTTGAGATCCATGCTGGACTCAGTTGGCTGGCACTGCTTGATGGACTTTAGTGCAAAATGATTTCGATGGGCATCCTGGAGGAGAGCCACAGCTTTTAAAGGCTTTTTCGTATCCAGTTGGAAGAGCCACTCCCGCTTGGAGGTCTTCGAGCTAATGCTGGTGACCAGCTGCTGTTCACACCGCGCCTCCATCTCCGGCACCCGTTCGCACATCACTCTCTCCGGAGCTGTGGCCTGAATCCATCGTTCTAGAACCTGCTCAGTATACGACTTGCCGTAGAGTTCCTTTTCGCAGGCCTTTTGCATTCGCATCCGCCGGTACTCGAATCGCTCCTTCCACTCGTTCAACTCATCCTGGCCATGAGCTTCAACGCACTGGGCACCGTAGTGGCAGGTGTGCGCCTCGCTAAACGTCTCGCACAGGGAATATGTGTCCAAAGTGTAGCCACGGGGCGGCGGACGCCACTTCCAGTCACGACCTATTCGAAAAGTAAAAAAAGTATGTATTTTGAGTGATTGAAAATTCATGTTTTGACTATATATGGAGAGAAGTTATCAAATCTAAGTTATAAAAATGTTAAAATCATTTAAAATTATGCTTTTAAAAAATGTATATTTAGTTATTCGTTCTCATTATATTTCAAGAGTCATTTGGAAAGACTTTCTAATTATAGAAATTCCCCGATACTCACCCTCATCGCTCATGATCACTTTCTGGTGGGCCTCGGTCTGGCAGTGCTGTCGCAGCTCGTTCCTCGTCTGGAAGGTAATAGTGCAATAGCTGCAGGTGGTCGATGGTGCCGCCTGATCGCCCTGATCCGAGCCCGATCCATCGCCGGATCCCGCCTGGTGTTTGACTGCCGTGAGCTTCATGGCAGCCAGCAGATCGTTGGTCTTGTGGAGACTTGTGCTGGAGCTGGACATCGTGCTGCTGCTGCCAGTGGACGAGCTACTGCTGCTGCTTGCATAGCTGCCGATTCCGTTGCCATTCTGCTGCTGCTGCTGTTGTTGTTGCTGCTGCTGTTGTTGTTGCTGCTGTTGTTGCTGCTGTTGCTGTTCCCGCTTCTTCAAACCTTTGTTGCTAAGCAACTTGCTGTACTTGTCCAGCGGCAAATTATTGGTGGCCCAGTGATCCAGCTTGGTGTCCAGTATGGCCATCTCGTCCTCGAGACGGGCATGCGGAATCTTCTGTGCCTGCGCCTTGTGCTGTCCATTCATAATCATCTGAATGATGGACTTGTAGCGCTCGAGGGTCTTGGATATGTCCGAGTATATCTGTTGGCCGCTCAGCTCGTTGATCCACTTGCTAAGAAAGATCTCAGCGTCCTGAAAGAAAGATAACAAGATGTTAGTTAAAACTAAAAATCCGGCTTCTTTACAAATCTTACAATGGAAAGCTATATTCAAAGATAAGAAATTTCCGCATTAATAAATAATAATTCTTATTTTTCTTTGAAGGTTATATTAATTTTAAATACTTAAAAACATTGTAATTGATAGCCTTATCTTCCCTAACTTGTAAATTGCATAGTTAAACGATTGAAGGTCCTCATTTTTACTCACCCCGTACTTGTGCATCTTAAACAGGGCGTGGACGAGCCATCGGCGGGCCCTAGACACGCTGGCCAGGCACTCTGTTTGCTCGGAGAGCAGCGTGAGCACCTTATAGGCATCCGCCAGACAACCCTCGAACTTTCCGAGCTCCAGTAGGCATTCGCATCGGCCCAGGAGACAGGCGATCTGTTGGTCCTTCTGTGCCCTTGATCCTGTACCCTGGGCACCGGATCCTTGGCCGGGACTGGGGGCAATCAACTGGTCGTAAAGCGCAACGGCACGGGCCCAACTTCGCCGTCGGACCATGTCGTGGGCCTGCATCTCCTTTTCGGCGGCCATAGTTTATTGGCTAGTTTTTAATGGCTCCTCCGGGTGGTTACTCATGCATGTGTGGCTTCTTCAGGTCCTTGTCTTGATCGCTCGTCTAAATTCTATGGTGATTCTGTTATGTTAAAGTTTAATTTAGTTTTTAGATTTTCTGCAAAATGTATTACTTACATAATTTAACAGTTTTGGGTGGTTAATATTAAGAAATCGATTATCGTTTTTACATTAATGTTTTAGATACTTTGCGGGCATTATGTTTACTGCAAAGGAAGAATTTTGGGATTAGAATAATGCACTTTATTTTTCGATTTTCCTGCTAATTCGACTTTCTACGTTTAAACATTTTTAAGCGGTGTTTATTTCTTTACCATAAAGTTGTTTTATTATTGTGTTTGCATTTTATTTATTGTGTTTGGAAGTGTATTTTTATTTCTGCCGAATTTGTTTTTAATTTAAAGATTTTATTCGATTTTATTTCGGTGACCAAGCTCCTTTATCGCTTAAATGCAAATTCCAATTGTCTACCAAAATTGAGTTGTTTGGACCAAAACAGAAAGTGTTTATATCTAGGCAATAGGTTCTGCTCGGCTCTTATCGGATCCGGATCCCAAACAAATGTGTGTATATAATCTATACGGACGGATTTATAGAGTTCGCCTGCAAATACATAGATACGTATATGATAAACAAACCAAAATGCTCCTTTGGCCGTCTTTATTTTTCGATTTACACAATTTTCATTCTAATTTCGGTTACGCAAAATTTCATAAGAGCAATTTTCACTCTCGCACCGGCACAAAGGGGGACGTGGGGCAAAACTTAGCGGGGGGATGGAAAAACAAAGGGGGGTAAGCACTTGCAAAGAACGAGAAAATTTGCAAGCATAATTAAAAGTAATTTTCAAGTTGCTTCTTTTTCTTATTTGTTGTTTTATATTTTTTTTATTCGGAGGTGCTTGCTCTCTTTTTTTCTGCTACTTTTTTTTGTTGCGTGTATATATGTGTGTGTGTTTTGTTGTTGTGCGGTTTTTATTTATATGCGGCAATAAATGGGTATTATTTACATTAAATGGCGAACGTTGCATTGTTAGCAAATGCAAATGCATTAAATTAAACCGTACTATTATTTAATGTTGATTTTTCTTCGCTTTTTTATATACATGGTCAGATTTTCTTGGCCTGGCATTGTCTTTTCAGCGGTTTGCAGTCGAAATAAAAGCACTTTTCTTGAAATTTTCAAAGTTATTGCATGGTTTATGCGGCTGGCTGTTGCTAGAGCACATTTATTTGTTAATTTGCACAATGCCCATGAATTTAGGCGGATTTATTTTACCATTTTTCTTTTTACGTGCTGAAAACAGCAGACGGTCGCCAGTGTTGGCTAACGCCATAGAGTACTCGTTGCCGAGTATCGCATGTGGCAATTAATAGATGCTTTAAATTTATTTTTCTCTTTTGCAGGCGTATATTAGTCAACTTTGTTTCATAAATGGAATGTTTAAGAATTCTTTTATAATTTCTTTATTTTGTTGCCTTATAATGGTACAAAACAAAACACGAGTATCGGCTGCGAACACTTTCCAAAACTAAAACATCCGTTTGGCAACACTGATGCATACACTACACGATGATTTTACACATATAAAATCGGCAACTTATATGTGCACAATACATGCAAATGACCGCATTGCACTTTTATCTGATTAGTCAGTTATTTATGCGGTTCGTTAATCATTTTGCGTGCTCAGCAAATGACAGCGATGCACTTTTTCCAGCGCTATTATCGCAAGTCAGCCAATCAGCCAGCTGTAACTTTGCTAGCCAATTTTTTTTCGTCCATTTCCGTTTTAAGCCTGATTTCCACACTCTTCCTTTACCTTTGCACTTATTCTTATTGTTTATACACTAGGGGCTAATTATATTTTACATGGTTAAGCACAAAACTATGAGAGAAAATGCACATCACGTCGAAAAATGTTAAAAATAAGTTATGTATGTATGAGGGAAAATTCGCGAAATGCTTCAGTGCTGTGTAGTGTCGTGGAAAAGTGCTGCCCATCGACGGATGGAAACCATTGACTATCGATAACAATACCGATGGATATAATCGAATTCAAAATGTTAATTTATTATATATTTTCTTATTGGTTTACAAAGCTTGAGTTAGACAGTTACTTTTAACTATATAGTCAAGACAATAACACTAAAAAGTAAGATTATATCCTCAAAACGTTCGATGTAAAAACTAAAAAGTAAAGCACTTCTTGCTCTTTTTAATGTAAATATAACTACCGAAAATTTTAAATGAGTTTTTGAGAAATCTTCTAAATAAAACCCACTCCCTTAGTTTGAATACACTGTAAAGCTGTTTATTCGAAACATTTTAATTGATTTAAATATGTTGTAAACTGGCTGTTATTATGTTGTCTCAATGCTCTCGTTTGTGTGGCGGCACATAGACCTGCTGCTGTTGCGCCTGACGATCTCCTCGGTAGCGTGAGTGTTGCTGCTGCTGCTGATGGTGGTGCTGATGCTGAGGGGCATGGCTAAGCGGCCTGTTCTGGGCATCGGTGATGGGAAGGATATCAACCTTGAGTACCTCCTCATGATTTCCATAGCCCATAAAGAAGACCACACAAGTTTTCTCCGACACTCCAGTGATCTCAGCCTCATAATACTGAAAAATTAAGAAAAAAGTATAAGCAATTTTCGAATTTGTACCAAGAACCTTAGACTTATAGAATTTTAATAACTCTTAGAGACCCAAACTCACCCTTCCATCGTCCCAGTACTTGGCCATGCACAAATCACCCTCCTGCCACAGCCAGGCGTCTCCAGGCGTCATACCGAACTGTTCCCGTGGCGCAGCCTGCGCAGCCACAGGAGCAGGCTGTGCCTGAACTGGTGCTGAAACTGGAGTGAAGGATGTCGGTGCCAATGCCTGTTGCTGCTGCTGTTGTTGGTTGGGCATCGTGACACCCTGACTCTTGAGAAGGCTCATAGCAAACTCGTTGGCTTCCTTGCTTTGGAAACCCATGATCTTACTAGGATCGTATGTATAGCCATTGGCCAATTGACTGTAGTTGGCATGCGAATGATGCCGTGGATTGTGATGTTGACTCTGATGTTTCTGGTTAGTTTGAGCCTTTTCCGGCTTCTGCGAAGGCAACTGTGCAGGTTGTTGCTGCTGCTGGGTTTCTGTTCCCGTTGCTGCCTGGCGATTGGCCTGACCATGGCCCTGTTTACGTCGATTTTCTCGTTTGGGAGCGCTGCTCACCTTGAGATTAGCCGTTTCTTCGGTTACTTTGCTCAAACGGGCATTGAAATCCTCTCCAGTATGGTTTGAGGCCTTTGCAGGTGCACTTGCTGAATTTGATCCGGAGCTGGCTGTTGTCTGCTGTTTACGCCTGTTGCCATTTGCGTTTCCGTTCTCCCCTCGATTGGAGCCTCCACGATTGCTGCCTCTATCGCTTCCACGACGATTGCCAGTATGTTCCTTACCATTTGTTGTTTCTGATTCTGCTTTAACCTCTGGATTGGCCTTGGCAGACGAATTGTCCTGGCCATTACGGTTAGAGGATTTAGCAGTCGTGTTCTCCGGTTTATTTCGTCCACCTCCACGTTCGTTGAAGCCTCCTCCACGATCCCTATGTGGTCTCTCCTCTCTCGGTGGCCTCTCTTCCCTCGGTGGCCTTTCTTCCCTATGTGGTCGCTCTTCCCTAGGTGGCCTCTCCTCCCTCGGAGGCCTTTCGTCTCTGCCACCACCTCGGTTACGTCCACCACCTCTTGAAGATCCCGCATGTCCACCACGATGCGCGGCAAAGCTGCTCGATACGTTGTTCTCAAACCTCGAACGATCCGCAAATTTTCCTCCTCCACCAGCAGCTGACGATCTGCTATCGGCTTCGCTGAACCTCGAGTTTCCGTATTGCTTGAAGGGATTAAAGTGATTGGTAGTGGGTGGGGCAGTTGGAGCGGCAGCAAATGTCTCTGCAATGCTTGGAGCCGGAGTCTCCGTGGCGGGCAGTTTGTTGGTTAGGAAATCAAACAGAGTGGCATTGGCAGCTGGCTTGGCTGCTTCAGCTTCGTCCTTAGCGCTGGCACCACGTTTTCCTTCTCTCGGCGGACGATCTCCACGTCCAGGACGACCCATGGATTCAATAGGCCCACCACCTCCAGCTTCTTTGCGTCTTTTTAAATTGAAAAGAGCGCGCTCTAAGTTATTTCGAGTGGCATGCAAGGCACTGCGGGCCTCCTCTTCACTAAAGCCCTTGTCCAGGATCTTCTTGACGTTGTGATCGACGATGTTTTGACCACCACCACCAAAGACCTTTTTACCGCCTGCCTTGGTGGCCACGGCGATGGCCTCGGTGCGCATGGCATTGAACTCGTCGTTTTCCTTCGCCGGCTTATCCTTATCTCCCGACGAGCCAAGGCTCTTAAAGTTTCTTTCCCTTTCGGCAGTGGTATCGATTTTTCGGCCAAATGCCACCCAAGGAGGCGGGGCCGAGGATCCGCTCAAGGGCCGACCACTGCGAGCATATCTCAGCATGGTCCTGGCAAGATCCCATTTTTCATAGAGCGCATCAACACGGCCTCCAAGAAGCTGAATCTCACTGGATTTTAGCAGTATAAATCCTTGCATTAGTTGAAGTTTTTCGGCCTTGAAAAAGATTTTACTACCAGGAGCCACATTGAGATTCAGCTGAGGTACTGACTCTAGCTCTAGAGCCTGTATGGAATTCTGACCATCACTCAGATCTAACTGAAGAAGGCGTGGTGCCGCCTTTGATTCCTCATTCGCTTTGGGGGCTGCGATATTTCGCACTCTTTGCACCTGCAGCACTATCTTTCCTGGCAATGTGGTATCTTCGCGTTTCGCGGGCAGTGCACCACCGCCTATATCTCGAATATCTCTCTGAAATCGTGAGTAATAGTTTAAATATTAATAATTACACATATTATGAAGCAGCCGGTTCGCATACTACTCACATTCAGTGCATCATCGACTATTTTCCGGAAATCCTCGCTTCCAACGGCTGTTGTCACAGTTTTAAGGCCTTCCTCCGTCAGGTGCCTGCATTAATCGTTAGTTGGATATATTCTCTCCTTTATTGTTATGTACTTACCATCCAACTTCTTTTAGTTTCTTGGCTAATTCCATTTTTTCATGAATACGTCTTTTTTTGCAACTTCTAGCGATGGAAAAACTATTAGATGTGTGTACTCGCTAGTGATGTGTAAGGCGGCAATAAGAAAAATCGGTTGGAGAGCAGAAATATCGCTTAAATTTTTTAATTATGCAATATGATATAAAAGTTATTTATGAATTCACTATGCACATGCGGTTGAAAAACACTTAACTTAGAAATAAGCCAACTTTTTTTTTAAAGTTTCAACCAAAGTTTATGCAAGAATAGAGTAAAAATGTTCGGGCTCACTTCATACAAATTGCATTAGGCAAATTCTTACAGAGAACGAGAACAATTGAGTTACTCACATTTTTTCTTGATTTTAAAATATTTTAACATACGTAAATGGGCAACATAGCTTAGTCATATAGCATACAGAATAAATGTTAAGTAAAAAAGAACACGTAGAAACAGGCGACAATAATTTAAAGATTTTATAAACTTACAGTATACGGAATACCCCATACACTACACAACCAGTCTTATGTTAAGCGTAATTTAAGCGCTATTGAAAACTGCAGACCGGTCACACTGATAGGGAAAATATATAAGGGGCTGCCGTCTGCGGAGCGAATGAATAACGGTTCGCGAGCAACAACGATTCTTTACTCGAGAGCGGAGTAATTTTCCAAGTCGACAAATAGTGTTTCAAAACCAAAACGAGATTTATTCGACTAGTCGCGCCTACAAATTACCAAATCGAAGGAGCTGCAATTCAGGTCCCGAGTCCGCGGAGCAAAATCTGTGGAAAGTGCTAGAAAAAAATAGGAAAGAAAAACCAGTGACGCGAGCAACAACAACAACAAACCGTCATCGGACGATTTATACAATATCTAACGCAGAGTCCAAAGCATGAATCTGTCATTCGCTGGCTGCGGATTCCTGGGCATTTACCACGTCGGAGTGGCCGTCTGCTTCAAGAAGTATGCACCGCATCTGTTGCTGGAGAAGATTGGAGGCGCTTCGGCCGGTTCCCTGGCCGCCTGCTGTCTCCTCTGCGATTTGCCATTGGGTAAGTCTCTTCCCACTCATTTCATGGGTGGGTCGAAGAGGGTTCTAAATATAAGTATATTAAAAATTGTATCTATTAACAATTCAGACATACAATTTAGATTAACATTTTATACTGTTTGCCACTTATAGTTTGTGTGTCTGGCTTCAGCCTTTGACCACTGATCTTCGCTAGTAAATTCCCTTTCAATAATTTTCTTCACCCCTCTGGTATTTTCTCTACTTCTCTCTTCCTTTCTTGCGAAACATACATACACAGCCATACATAGGCAAAACAGCTGACTGCAAAAACAACCACTGGGCAGTTCAGTGACTCTCTTAGTGGGAGGCAGAAAGAGTGTGAGAGAGCAGGAGATGAGATGCTGCGGAGCTCAATATAAAACGCATTGAATTAAATTGATAAGGTTGTTTGCGTTTGTAGGTCGCTAGGAAGTCAATGGGGGTCTTTCATAATTCCCTGCGATAGTGTGTGTGTTTTTGGGCGTGTTTGTCCAATTTCCAAAAGGGGCTCGTCTGTCGAAAGAAAACTGCGGCGCAGTTGAAAAACCTCACGAAAACATAAAAACAAGTTTCGTTGTTCGGGACAACGCACTTTTGTAAAGAGGCAACCGAATATATAAGCAAATAGCCGGGCAACACAAACACACCAATGGTCAAAATACTAAGGTTTTAGTCCTGAAAATTTTCATAAAATTACGAAAATACTTTCTAGTTTTTCCTAAAAATAAGAGGAATCGAAAAAGTAATACTAGCAAATTCAAAAACCATAAATATAAAATTTCACCATTGATTAATCTTATCTGAAATTAGCAATTTTAAATTAAAGAGATTAAACTTTAAACTTAAAGTGATTTTTTCCTGAAACTGATTAAAACAATCTTACGTCAGAATGATTAAGTAACAACGTGCATTTAATCTACAATCTATCACGAAAAAGATACTATTATTTTGACCCCAACTGTATACATACAAACCTATTTTGATCGAGATGCTTGAAGGTCGATTGTTTATTCATGTGTTTTGTTTATGCTTAGGAGGCGCGTTCATCGAAAGTCGCCTAGGAATTCGAGGCAAAAGTTGTGCTATTATGGAATCGAGTATCTATATATAGCTGTAACGAACGTATATATAGGCTTGAAACATGAGTTCTTGTTTTCGATTTTTTTTTTTTTTTGTATACATATGTGTAACGCTTCGTTTGTATCGTGGGTATAAACATGTCAATCACTGGGGGAACACTAAACTAGCTGGGTAGAAAAACAAATGTCAGCTGGATTACTCATGGCTACTGTGCAACAATGTGCCGATCTTCTATAGGCCTTATCGCTTGACCAGGGTAATCCAGAGCCATAATCTGGAATAACGTCAGCAGCGGCAGGCGAGGAGCAGCGTTCTCGATCGTTAAAATAATCAATCGGTTTTTTGTTTGCTTTTATGCCAATGGGATGATCGTCACCCCCAGGGTTTAACATGCTCAATTTCCCCTGACTTTGCTTCCATTGAAGTTGCCACACAGGGAATACTACGTTCTAAAATTGGGCTTTTGTCCCCAAAAAATCCAAGAACAATACATTTCAAAAGAAGCTTTGTTCTTGAATTAATAGGGAGAAAATAAAACAATAAATCACGTCATTTATTAATAATAGTATTGAAAAGTAAACTTTAGCTTTGACATCATCAGAGGAATATGAATGTTTCTTCTGGTTTCTGGATCTATCATTCTGGCTTATTCCTTTTTGCATCTTTTGCTTTTTCGGGTCAGTGGTAGGTTTTCCATTTCTACCTACCTGATCTTTATTCTCAACTGGTAGAAAGTTCGTTAGCCTGTCTCGCAGCTGCTGCAGGTAACTAGAATTTTCCTGTAATTTCAGTATTCAGTTTCCACTTTAATTGCTGCAATTAAATTTGGTCGGTTGCATTGTGATCTAGGTCTATTTGATTACTCAGCCCAGAGCGTGTCCAATTTGGACTTTAAAAGTCATTATATAGTTAACTCGGGTCCTAAGTACAGGTAAGGTACAATATAAGTACAGAAGCGTTTCACAAAGAAAAGACGGTTTGTTCCGCCGCGTCGGGCAGATTAGAGTTGTGAAAGTTTTTACTTGTTTATGGGTTTGCCAACAAAGCGTCACAAAGAGATTCGTCAGGTATTGGAATTAAATTAGATACATATAAAAGAAAACTACTTTTCCAGTTTAGTTTTCCGTTAAACTAAAGAAAGTTATGGTATCAGTTTTGAAAAAACTTTAAGTACTTCATTGCTAGACTAATATTTTAATTCTGTTACTTAATAGGAACTCTTCTGCATTTCCTTTCTACTCGAAATACAAGGGTTATTTAGACAGTGCTTTGGAAAAACACCTCATCCGACACTCTTTATAAACCTATTCATTCATGACGGCTCTTTTATGGCCCAATTTATCAAATGTTCACCGCACTTCCTCTTTGTTGTTGCCACTCGAAGCACTTGAACACGAGTTGGGGATAGCCACGCGAACTTAACTTATCAAAAGTATCGTATGACGACGGCATCGCAAACTATATTGCTAAGATAATTCCACCATTTCCCCCCATTTCACCGACGAGTACTTAAAACTCCTTCAGATAATTGCAATTTCTTTCGATTACTTTGATATACCCTTAGTTACAGGGCGTTAAAAAAAAACAGATCATTATCAGTGAATGGAAATTACCTTGTTTTGATGGATTCTCCCTTTTATTTTTCAAAGCTTCTAAGGGCCACATAAGCAAAAAAATTTCTAAATGCAAATATGTAAATACAAATATTTAGTCTAGGTTTATTTTTAGTGGAAAAGCCAACGGCCGACCTTCAATATACGGCTATCTGGAAATTTTAGAAATCTCAACTGCAATTCATTGTTCTATGTGGGCACGAATGTACATACATATATATTCATTGCTTATCGGTTTGATTTACCTTTATGGGCACGTTATCATGTGGGAGTCATGTTTTGTTGCCGATTTCCGTCGCTTAAAGTCCAAGTTGCGGGTGTTTCTAAATTATATTCGCTTACGTAGTATATAAGACTTTTGAATGGTTCGATTTCGTTACAGCTGGTAATATAAAAATATGAGTCAAGTGCAGTTTTGCGATTTAAGTCGCACATCGAGCTCTTTGTTTGATTCAGATCGATCGCTATCTATATGGCCGTACTGACTTGACTATAGGTATACCATATATGCTGCATTCGATTGACGTATTTTGCATTGGGCTTAGTTTCCTATTCCTATTCTGAAGATAGTGATTAGAGCACAAAGCAAATACTATCTGCATATTTACATACATATGTGGTACGCAGCTGTGTCGTACATCCTAGAATACATAATGCTATCAGCTCTGCGGGGTCCTCTATATATGCGGCGTATCTACTACCAATGATCTCCTACGCTCAATCAATCGCCAATGCAAATGAGGCTGTTCATCATTATCGAATGCATTATTGTTGATTGACACACTTTCTGCGGCACAAAAAACTAATCCACGATAACACTTGGTCACGGGCCGCGTTTTCAATTGAATTTAATGGAGGCTTTCTTCGAGGTCTTAGGCTTAAATAACCTTTCCTACGCTTTAAACTTTAATATAAATCAATATCCATATGATCAAGTCAGTTACGCTTAGATCATCTTTGTTATAGTAGATACAATATTTCAAAAGATAGTACATTTCCCAGTTGAATGATATTTTTCGAATCGAAAATAGCAGCTGCCGCAATCCAGGGACAAAATTCCATCCTACCTTTCTCTTTTTTTTCCCTTCGACCTCCCAAACCCACCCTGAAAACCAGATATGAAAGCGAAATATTCGAACGTTTCCCGAAATCCGTTGCCAAGTGCACAGAATTCATGGCATTGCAATGTGACCTATATAAATATATGTATTTGTGTAACGGCTGCACGAAGCGCACACAGAAAACTTATATAGTCAAGGGGATAAGTATGTCCACTATGGAAAACATATATTTGACTAATACATTGTAGGAATTAAAACTACCAAAAAGTAAAATACATTAAAGTGGTTTGCCATGCGTAAAACCATTACATTTTAAATGTCTTCATGCCAGTTTTATAATAACAATTAAAACGTTTAAAAAAAATGTCAAGGTCTAAAGAAGATTCATAGACAGTAAATGTAGTTACGGCATTAAAGAAAGAAGTAACACATTTGTAGGTCTTCAGCAATTACAAAAAAAGGGGTTTCCAAATATTAACAGATTCTATTAACAGAAAGTCCAGAACAAAGAAGTCTTACAAGTCATAAACAGAAATAAAAAAAAAAACACAGAATGATAGTGTAAACATAATTACTTTGCCCACTGTAAACATGTGCACAAACACATATAGCGTATATGTAAGTGGGTAAACTATGCGCAAGCGGAAGAAGCAGAGAATTCAGATATTCTTGTTTTTGTGCTCTGTGAATACAACCACAATATCACGTGATGAGGCATTTTATTTTATTTTTGGGTGCCCGGTGATATGAGAAGAGTGAACATAAGAGAGTCACTACTTGAATTTTGGGGGTCAGACCACGGAAATGGGGGTGTGTGTGTGTGTGTGCCGCTCTCTCGCTTCCTCTCTTTCTTGTTGAAAGTTTGTTTGTCTTTCCTTTTGCCATGAAGAGCAACAACTGCATACGTATGACACTCCTCCCTTTTCCCCATCCACATTTCTCCCAGAAACTTGTTTATTTATCCATTCGAGTCGAGCCCCCAAAAGAAATAGTATTTTTGGTGCAGCTGTTTGTGTATGTATGTATATTTATGTCTGTATTTGTATTTCCCTTTATGTTGTTTACGATTTCGTTTCGTTTTGGTTTTCATTTTCCATTTGCCGTTATGCCCCCGGCCGCCAAAGTGGGCGTTAGTTGCACTTGACTTGCGGTTACGATATACGTAATATCGGGGGGGCCAACTGTACATTCCACAAACAGTGATGGGCATAAAATTAGCGTTTACTTTAAAGTTTACTTACTATAAAAATTCGCAGTTGTAAAAGATTTATTAGTTGCAAGTCCAAGGTTTTCAAAAAATTGCCTTTTTAAAGTTACAATACGGTGTTAAAAAGTTAATTACCCATGACCATTAAATAACACTAAGTTACAGCATTTGAAATACACTGTTAAAATGGGCGTATCTTAGAGATACTAGAGTTTAAAGTTACAAAGCATAGAGTTTTTTAACATTGCAATGCCCAAAATTTCTTCCGAAGAAATACACACTTTTAACTTTAGCTTATAAGTATCGTATTATCTAAGAGTTATGACAAACATGTTAATATGAAGAGCTACCTGCATGCATAGGATTCAAGGTTAAATCGCATTTAACAGATTTATTTAACCCAGCAAAGCCACGCCCACTTTTCTCATTCGCTTTTCGTTAATAAATAAAAGCTCATTTTTCCACGCAGTTGTTATTTGCCTAAGAAAAACAACAACAATAATTAAGAGGGCAGCACGTAACGTGATAGCGTTGTTTATTTGCATTTCCCTCTCTAGTTTATTATTGTTGTTGACAATCAAAAGCGGAATAGCGAAAACAAAAATTGATATATAATCGTGAATTGGGACCCCCACGAGTTCCATGGGTTCTTCAGCTAGATTCCAAACTCCATCCATAACAAAAGTGTTCAATGTCGTTGAGGCTTTAAAATAGTTTAACTGATAAGTGAATGAACGTGTTATGTGACTTGTTTTTCCTAACTATGGTTATTCCAGATTATATACACAAAAATAATACTGATCGTGTGGCATAATTCCGGGGTTTTTAAATGAGTCGTGAACCCAGGCTTTTGCTATAATTTCTGGTTATGTCTTGTCTGATGACCTGATTTCGTTTTGCGTCAATTTATGGAATAAAGCGAAATTATACATGAATATATAAATATTCTAACCTTATCATAATCATTGCTGTAGGCCGTACGGCTTTCGTCTAATCAAAATATTTGGAAAGTACTAACGTGTGGCACTGCTGGGAACATGATTTCTTATCAAACAGGCACATGGCACACGCAAAACTACTATTTTTATGGGTACAATTTGAGAGCGTGAGTTTCCAAATAAGTTCAATAAATTAATTTAAAGGTCTCTAAAGGTATGGTTATGGTATCATTCAGAAGTTAGGAGGAAACCCACTGAGTGAAGTCAATTTAGATAATTAAATTAATTAATTAAAAGTATTATCAATGTTACCACTTATTTGTAAATGAATTTCTTAAAAGTAAATACAAATATAATTACATTTCCTAGTAATTTTCTTATCATCTATGAAAGCTTTTCGGATCGTACGATTTTTCATTGTGAAACTTACTATTTTTGTTGCTTCATTGTTAAACTCAAGTTGTACCATATGGTGGGATCTATAGTGGCTTATCAGTACCCATAAACTGTGTTGGGGGTCGTGCGGCAAATAGAACAATACAAACACTTTCAAACCACTTCAAGGTTCGTACGTCATTTCCCCTCATAAACGGTGCGGGAAATGGCCAACCCAGCACAGCAATAACACTGCCAAGAGCAGCACTTGACCCTTTGGATGACACAATGACGCAAAAGCTGCGGGCATCATCAGACGTAGATCAGCAATCGGGGAAACACAAGATGAGATAGCCCAATGAACCCGAAAATATGAATATTGTATAAGCTCGATTAGCAAGGGTATTATCGGCTATGTAGTCGATCTTCTCTAAATCAATTTGGAAACTTTCTAGAACTATTTTTAGATTGATTGATTACATGACATCTTAATTGAGCTCCAGGCTTTCCATTTTGAATTACATTTTCTCTTAATAAGATAGGGATCATGGCTTTTGTATTCTAAAGTCCACAATTTTATAAGCAAGCTTTAATTAAGATTTTAAAGTGCACTTTTGCTAATGGCTTTTCTTTTTTTTTATTTTACAGGGAGCATGACTTCGGATTTCTTTAGGGTAGTGAACGAAGCACGTCGCTATTCTCTGGGTCCCTTCAGTCCCTCCTTTAATATTCAAACTTGCCTCCTGGAGGGTCTGCAGAAGCATCTGCCCGACGATGCCCACAAGCGGGTTAATGGACGTCTCCACATCTCACTTACCCGAGTCTATGATGGAAAGAACGTGATCATCTCGGAGTTTGAGTCAAGGGAAGAGGTCCTGCAGGCATTATTGTGTGCATGCTTTATACCAGGATTCTCTGGCATTCTGCCGCCCCGTTTCCGTGGAGTGCGCTATATGGATGGTGCCTTTTCGGACAACTTGCCCATTCTGGACGAGAACACAATCACAGTGAGCCCGTTCTGCGGCGAAAGTGATATTTGCCCAAGGGATCAGAGTTCACAGCTTTTCCATCTGAATTGGGCCAACACCAGTATCGAGATCTCCAGGCAGAACGTAAATCGTTTTGTGCGGATCCTCTTCCCCCCTCGTCCCGAGTTTCTGTCAAAATTCTGTCAGCAGGGATTCGACGATGCCCTGCAGTTCCTCCATCGAAACAATCTTATCAATTGTCGGCGTTGCGTGGCAGTTCAGTCCACATTCGTGGTTTCCGAGACAGTGGCCCAGCCGCAGGAGTTTGATCCCGAGTGCAGGGAGTGCAAGAAGCATAGAAAGGTAAGGATTATTAAGTTATAGTTAAAGAACAAGATCTTACGTTTAAATCTTGTACCTTAGCTATTTCCCAATAAATAGACTTAAACTAACTTCTATTTTCTTTGTTTTCAGGACGCTTTGAGCTCAAATATGCCACAAACAGTGCTGGATGTAATCCAGGATTATATCGAACAAGCTAATAAGGGTCTGGCCAATTGGATCTTCAAACATCGTGGTATTAAACTGCTTTCCCTGCCTGCTACAGTGCCAATGGACTTTCTCCTTGCCACTATTTCAAAGTAAGTTTTAGTATCTCATTTCTATAAAACCAAAATACTTACACAATTTATTTTATTTTCATTTTAGAATATCAGAATTGACGCCGAAACTTACCAAGCAAGCCAGAGTAATGGTGGAGGACTTTGTGCTTCAGTTGAATAACGCCATGCGGATACGCCTGCTAAATAAATTCACTGTAAGTTAATTAAGAGCTCACTAGTTTAAGGTGCTGTTCACCTTTTTATGATTCAAATTAAAGAATTTTTCAAATGTTTTCGTCCGGTACATAATGTATAATTTATACTTGTTATTGCAGCTTTATGACCAGCCTCACTTTGATGCCACTGGACTCCTCCATTCCAGTCGCTTATATGGACCTCGTGTATCAATTCTAGTAGATGAATGGTGAGTTAAGCTATAATTTTTCTCCATTGAACAAATATTTTAACTTATTGATTTTATTTATAGTGGAGCCACCCCACTAGAGGACGATGTCGATAACTTTGAGCATGTCCTCAAGATGACCACGCACAACGACGCTCTCTATGCCTATTACTACACCGACAATAACACAAACAAGGTTAAAGTAACTGAGATTTTCGATTTTGACGATATGACGGAGCATGACCAACTGGCCACTGATCTGCAGATATACGAAGGATCGGTGGAAGATCATCCCAATCCCCATCAGCACAGTCACAATACAGTGGTTAGCGAATGGAATGGTGTAGAATCAGGTTAGTATTTAACCAAATACTACACTTTTAAGTTTAGATATCACATCATTATTTAGTGAAACGTATCATTTGCAAATTGAAATCAACACCAAACATTTTTTTCAGTACAAATTATGCCCACGACTCCTGAACTACACGACGTAGCATTTTAAAGCACTCTTAAAGCACAGTTAATCAAAATAAATCAAACGACTTTAAATGCACCTCCATAACCTTTCACCCATTCAAGCATTAAGTCTAAATTTTAAATCATTGGCAGGTAAATGATCAAAATTTTACAACCAATATCCCCGTTAATCCCATTAAAAACTTCATTTTATGTAATTTATATTTTTGTAACACTTGTAATAATATATATTTTCCTTTTTAATGCTCCATAGACTTCTTCATCGATGCCCAGTCGCCAAATGTGGAGGATAGTAAAACAATAGTGCCACAATTTGCCCGCGTGGATCTGGAGCCCGACTCAGATGCTAGCGTCCTCAGTGATCCTGAGGTTGATCAGACTTTTAGCAACACTACGCACAACACCGCTATGTATATAGAAATTGAATGAGATTAGAATGGGAAGTGGGAATGCAAGGGATTATGGGGGCATCATCTTAAGAACTGTAACGAAACATCTCCAAAGCGGCTCGTAGCAAAGCGAAAAGCCTAGTAGCGTTTCCATTAGTATAATTCTTAGTCTTAGTACGACCAACGTATGTACCTAACTTAACTTAGCCGTATGCTGCCATTGTATCATCGCCAGTTTGTAAGCGGCAATTAGAAAATAATTGCATTCTTGTTATTAGTCACCCAAACACGACTTGTATTACATCCAAATCCCATATGTGTTTAGCCTAAGTTGATAATGTATAAACAATTAAACAATAAACTAAATTTATAAAATGCGTTTTTTTATTTATGTACGTGGAATATAAAGACAAATGGGAATTTTTTATCTCATTCAGAAAACAAAGGAAGCTGTAGTATGGAATACCATACTAGCCAAACTAATGACTAATAAAAATACATATTATTTTTAATATACGAGGTGTGTTCAAAAAGTAAGGTGACTTTGTATTTTCAAGAAAAACTATTAATTTATTTATCAATATTTATGTTGTCCCCTTCAAAGTAATCCCCCTCAGATACAATACACTTATGCCAACGGTTTTTCCAATCCTCAAAGCACTTCCCATAAGCACTTTTCGGTATAGACTTGAGCTCTTGCAGCGATGCAGTCTTTATCTCTTCAATCGTTGCAAATCTCCGTCCTTTCATAGGTCTCTTCAGTTTTGGGAACAAGAAAAAGTCACATGGGGCCAAATCCGGTGAATATGGTGGCTGAGGCATTATTGTGGTGTTGTTTTTGGCCAAAAAATCTCTCACAAGCAAAGATGAGTGAGCAGGGGCATCATCGTGATGCAAAAGCCATGAATTGTTTTTCCACAATTCTGGACGTTTCTTTCGTATTGCTTCTCGCAAACGGCGCATAACTTCCAGATAATACTGTTTATTGACCGTACGACCATATGGTAAGAACTCCTGATGCACCACGCCATGGTAATCGAAGAAAACAGTGATCAAAACTTTGACATTTGATCGAACTTGGCGTGCTTTTTTCGGTCTTGGCTCGCCTGGGCTCTTCCATTGGGACGATTGGGCTTTGGTTTCGATATCATAACCATATACCCATGATTCGTCACCAGTTATGACCCTTTTGAGTAAATCTGGGTCGTCGTTGACGTCATTCAACAGCTCTTGAGCGATGCTCATGCGACGGTTCTTTTGGTCAAAATTCAGCAATTTCGGAACAAACTTCATACCCAAAACGTTTGAAAAAATTTCATGGCACGAGCCAAGCGATATACCCACATCTTCAGCAACTTCTCTGATAGTGATTCGACGATTTTCCAAAACAATTTTCGTCACTGCTTGAACGTTTTCATCAGTTGTTGACGTGCTTGGGCGTCCAGAGCGAGGCTGGTCATTGGCATCTTCCCGGCCATCTTGGAAGAGTTTGTACCACTTGTACACATTTTTTTTACTCAGAACAGTTTCACCGTATGCCACTGTCAACATTTCAAGTGTTTCAGAGCACTTAATTTTATTTTTTACACAAAATTTGATGCAAATCCTTTGATCCATATTTTTCGATAGCAAAAAATCGCCGAGCTCGCAAAATAACTTGTAACTTTACGCCTCTCACAACCAAACAAAAGAGGATGTTCCATTGAAACTTGGTACAGATGTTAGGGAAGAGTGTACCAATATAACAAAACAAAAAAATCGATAATCGAAAATATGTTGCCCGCGAAATTTGAAAAGTCACCTTACTTTTTGAACACACCTCGTAAAGCATTTTAAACCATTAACCACATTATATAATAATCCTAAATCTAAAGTATTGTAACACCCGATTTAAGGCAAAAGGATAAAATAATTAAATTTATTACATATTTGAATTTACCCTTAACTTCAAAATTCGTTTTACTTAAATTTTTTCCGTCTTAAAGATTTTAAAATTGTAAAACCGCGACATCGATAGAAAATATCGATAGCGGCTGCAACATATCGAGATCAAGAGAGCAGATAACTAATAAGGCACCATTTTGTGTATTTTTTTAGTGTGTTGAAACGGTCACACGACTCCATTATTTTTCTTGTAGCCGATTTATTGTTTTGATTTTGTTTAATTAATTGACAGTTATTAGATTAAATTGTGTGTTTAAAATATAGACAACTGTGCATTCAATAGGAAGCAAATAACAAGGGCAACAATATGGAGGCGGTGCCGCGTTTGCATATGCTGTGGTTCGCCCTGAAATCCAGTCCCGAGGGAACCTCCTTTGCGGCTTTAAAAAAGGTAAAGAGAGATTGAAAATAGAAGTGAAATAATTAAGAGAGTCAGCAAAACAAAGAGGTGATTAATTAGTTGAACTTATTTATCGGTTAACCAGAAGAAAATGCGTTGTTTTTCGGTGAAATATTTTTGGTTCTCCTAATGCAATTGCATTTCCCAATGTTCCCCTCGCATTTTCCGTTACCCTCCATTCTTTAAGCCCTCTTTGTCTGGCGCTGAGTCATCGCAGTCATCTGATTAACTCAACAAACAATAAGTTATAAACAAACATTGAAAGTATTCTTGGTACATCATTTCAAATTGGAATCTGATATCTTATTTGATTTAGTATTTAACACCTTAAATATTTTTAATTTAACATTTCCCCCTAGTACATTGCCGAATTCTATCATGAAGATCCCGAGTCGTACTCCAAGGAGGTTCATGCCCTGGAGACCCTACGTAACCAGGCAATGCACACCACAAAAGATGGAGCACCGGTGATGAAGCGCTACTACTGCCAGCTGCATGCTCTCCAGAATCGATTTCCCCAGTTGGCAGATCGTAGTATCTTCACCTTTACTTGGAAGGATCTCTATCATAGCGCGGTTCATGAGGTCAGCGATTTGCGATTCGAGCGAGCCGCAGTACTGTTCAACATTGCTGCATCTCACACGCAATCTGGAGCATCGGTGACTCGTGGCGATGTTGACGGTATGAAGATGGCCTGCACCCACTTCCAGGCAGCTGCATGGGCCTATGGAGAGCTGAGGGAACGTTATGCCAATGTCAATAGTGGCGGCGATTTCATGACCCAAGAGCTGCTGGTGTTCCAGCAACAAGTGTGCTTTGCTCAGGCTCAAGAATGCATCCTGGAAAAGTCGCTGATTGACAATAGAAAGCCACACATTGTGGCCAAAGTTACGGCTCAAATTGTGGTGTACTATGGAGCTGCACTGGCTGCTCTTCTAACTGGAGGAGATGAGGGCCCAGTGGCGCAGGTCATAGATAGCTCAGTTTACAAACTGTGGAAGAAATACGTCCGCTTTAAGATTAACTATCTGAACTGCATCTTATACCTGTACCAAGGTCAACATTCCGAAGAGAAGCGTCAGATGGGCGAAAGGGTAACGCTCTACCAGGTAAGTACATAATTCATGTACTGTATACAAAAGGAAACTTATTCTTAGTTTATTCTCCTTAAAGGCCGCTTGGGACAAACTGGAGGAGGCTCGCAAAGAGTCAAAGGGTCTGCCCGACCAACGCGAAATCAATGAATCCCTGAGCTTCACCGCAGATGTTGTTGAAGCAAAGCGCAAGAATGCCAAAAACGAAAACGAGTTTATTTACCACGAGGCGGTGCCGGAACTCTCCACCATTGCAGCTGTGCAAGGTGCCAATTTAGTAAATGGAATTGGCTTTCAAGTAACCGACGAGGAGCACGCGGGACCAGATATCTTTGCTAGATTAGTACCCATGAAGGCCCATGAAGCTAGTTCTTTGTACAGCGAAGAGAAAGCTAAGCTACTGCGTAAGTATGGAGCTTTGTTGGAGGAGAAGGACACCCAACTGGAAGCTTACATGAGTTCTCTTACACTGGATAATCTCAATATTAACGAGGAACAGGCCAACAAGCTGCCCCAGGGCATCGTCGATCGCTGTGCTGCCTTGAATGCCAACAAGACTGCTATTAGCGATCTGGTAGAGGCCATGTCACAGTTGGCTGAGATTACAGCTGATGTGGAGACCAATCTTGGCGAAATATCGCAAATGTTGGAGGCAGAATCCAAAGCTGAGCGAGAATTTCAAGCCGCCAGCGGCGTTCAACGAACTCCAAATGCTCATATTACTGAGTTAACCCGAGAGTTTCAGAAGTACAGTGAAGCCCATGCCCGGGCTGGTGAATCTAATAACACGCTAAGAAAAGCTATGAGTTTGCATGTCAACAATCTTAAGATCCTGGCCAGACCATTGCCCGAGATTCAACAATTGATGCCCAAACTAAGTTCAGAATTAAACACCACCGAAATCTTCAGAGATGTTAAACTCATTCTCAATAAAGTCAACGAAATGAAGGCTCAACGTGCTCAGTTTCATGCGGACTTGAGGATTGCCATTAATGAGGATGATATCACTGGCAAAGTGATTGCCCATGGTGGACAGGAGGGACTCCAAGCTTTATTTGCTACCGAACTAGGAAAACACGATAAGATCACTGGACTTCTGGATCAGAATATGGTGGCTCAGGCAAATATTTTGCAAGCACTAACAGAAAACTATGCCAAGGCTGCGCCAGTCTTGAAGACACTTCAGGACGTGAAGCAGAAGCGGGAGCACTTTTATAGTTCTTTGGCCGCCTCTTATGATGTATATGAGGATCTGCTGGCCAAATCTGCCAAGGGTTTGGAATTTTACAAGAAGTTAGCAGGAAATGTGCAGAAGTTACTCACCAGATTTAGATCTGCCAGGGATGTGCAGTCCGAGGAACGTCAGCAAAGGATGCAAAGCGTGAAGGCGGCTACGCCAACTGTGGTCAGTAAACCCACCGCGGAAGCAGCTCCTTCGCCATCGGTTAGCAGCACTCCCAAACTGAGGGATTATCTTAAGGCTAAGAACGCCTTGGCGGATTCCTCGAATCCTACAAACCCCGCCTATTTGCCCACAGTGCGTCCAGTGCCGGTGGGCTCGGAGAATCCTACTCAGGCAGCTTGTTCCTATGCTACTGCACCACCGAATGAACCACCACCACCGTACAGTCTTACACAGCAGCAGTACTTTGATCCCAGTGCCGCTGGCTACACGAATCCCATGTATCAACAACAGCAGCAGCACATTGCTCCTCCGGCTTACAAGGCTCAAGCATCGCCAAACTCACAAACACTGCACGGAGCATTGGCTCAGATGAATCTGCAAGGTCAATCGCAGGACAACAACCAAGCGAGCATGGGATACAGCTATGGGTATCCCAGTGGAACCGTGCCGCCACTAGCCTATGCTCCACCTGGTGCAGCACCCGCTAGCTCATCTTCTCAAGGATTCAACGTTCAGCAACCTTTGTATGTGGCCACATCGGGAAATTCCAATACGGTTTCAAATCCCAACGAGTTGCCCTCTACCCTGCAGGCGCCCTATGTAGTTAATCAAATGTCCAATCCTTATCAATCAGCAGCGGGATATCCAGGACAAGGTTACCAACAGGTTGCTCCTCAGACTCAACAGGTGACTTATCCGCCGACAGCTTCTAATTACCCAACAGCTCAACAGCCTTTGGGTTATGCTCCAAATCAGACAACGCAACAACCCCTAGGATATCACCAATCTCAGACACCTCAGCAACAGGTGGGCAACAATTATCAACAGCAGCCAGTCACAGGATATCCACAGCCTCTTATGGCTCAGCAACCTACAGGATATCCTCAGTCACAGACACCACAGCAACAGGTCACCGGCTATGCCCAAAATCAGCAACCTACTGGATTTACACAACCTCAGACTCAGCAGCAGCAACAGGCAGCATATCCACAGACACCTCAGCAACAGCCCTTGGGATATCCCCAATCGCAGACACCTCAGCAGCAAGCAACCGGACATCCACAGTCCCAGACACCTCAACAACCACTGACATATCAGCAGCAACCATCGGGTTATTCTCAGCAGCAGCAATCTGCTGCAGTTGCTCCGCAACAACCTTCACTCTATCCCTCGCAGGCTGTTCAAGCATCGCCTCAACCCATAACGGGTCAGCAATCTACGCAAAACATGCCGTATCCACAGCAGTACAATGATCCGAATACCGTACTAGCTCCAACGGCAGGAGTTTCTCCTGTTCCAAGTCCAGCACCAGCTCAGATTCCTGTACCCGCTCCATCTCCAGTTCCAGTTCCAACATCTCATTCTTCCGCCACCTACAGCAGCTATTCCAACCATCCTGGCTATAGCTTCAATCCCCTGACGGGTAAATACGAGTACAGCAGTGGCTATCAGCAGGACAGTAGCTCCATAAAGGGTTCCCAGGGATCTCATAGCTACCAGTTCAGCCAGAGTGGCAAGCAGCAGTCGGTGGGAACAACGGACTCGGAAAACGCCAATCGCATTAATACGGCCACGGGATTCGATGTGAGAAATATATATAATCATTATTTTACGATGTAAATAATCGAAACTTTATTTAACAGTCTCCTATCGTGTCCCACACCAAGGCTAATCTGCCAGCCAAGGACTCCACCTCTGTGGACGAGACTAAGGAATCAACAAACTACTTCTCTGCTCCTTATAACTACCATGGCAGCGGAACTCCACAACCACAGCAGCAACAGCAGCTCAATCCAACTCCACCAACAAATTCCACGGCATCCATTTACATGCAGAGCGGGGCGAACAGCTCTGCCCATACACAAACGACTACCGTTGGACCTCCTCTCTACGCCTCATCGACAGGTTCGACTAAAGTAGAACCCAAGACGGAGATAGTTACTCCCAAAGTGGCTAGCAATGTAGACCTACTTAGCGACTTGGACATCGATTGCTCAGGGGCTGTTCCGCCGCCAATGTTGCCGCAACCTGTAATCCAACCACAAGTGGTGGTAACACCCACGCCTCCGGGAAGTCATGTGTCGACCCAAGTTAAAGCCGAAAGTGTAGTGGAGGTAAATATATAAGTGTCCTATCTTCTGATTCTCTATTTAAATAAAATTCTCTTAATAACTTCCAGCCCATTGCTCCTGCAACACATGAAATTCCTGCAGTAGCAACAGAAGAAATCACTCCAACTCCAGCTCCCATTCCTTCAGCTGCAAAATGTCCCAGTCTAGACAACCTTTCCAACTGCTCTGACCTTAGTTCTTTGGAGAATTTTGACTGGGACTCGGTTTCCCTAACACATTCCGCAAGTGAGAAACAGCCCAAGGCATCTAACGCCAATGGTCAATCGAACAATTTTGCATTCCAAGCCGAGTCATTTACTGATGAAAAGACCACAAAATATTTCCAAAAGGAAGTGGAGAGCTTTGAGAAGCTGCTAGAGAATCTTCACGTGAAAATGCTAAATGGAAAAACCCAACTAGGGGCTAAATGGCAGGAACTGCAGCAAAAACTGGACAAGGAAGCTAGTGCCAACAAGCGATCCACTACCATTGCTAAATTATTCCCAGAGAAAAATCGTTCTCTCGATTGTCTGCCCTACGATCATGCTAGAGTTAAGCTGGACAAGCAGACAGATGACTATATCAATGCGGCTTACATGAAGGTGTGTTATCGTCAAATATGGGATCCAAAGTTAAGCATTTCTTAAACATTGTTCTATTTTTTATGCAGAACTTGAGTGCCGGCTGTCCCAACTTCATCGTTGCTCAGACTCCACAAGCAAATACCGTTAACGATTTCTGGTCCATGATCTGGTCGGAGAAGTCACGCACTGTGGTCTGCCTGCATACCACAAATGAGGTAAGATATTATAAGAAAACTTTTTCATTTAAATTCTTAATTATTTTATATTTTATACAGCTTTTTGATCCCTACTGGCCTCAGGCATTGGATCAGCCAACTCACTATGATGATTACACCGTGACCTGTGTCAAATTGCAGCAACTTAGCCACTGCTCCGAGTACCAACTCAAGTTATCCATGCATGGAGCAGATGCTGTGCTGGATTTATCTCTTCTGCAGCTTAAACAATGGACCAAGGGGTAAGTATATAGTCAAGTCAGGAGAACTAATATGTTTTAATTACATTCTTATTACCAGATCACCAGCTCAACTTTTGGGAGTGGCTCAAAATGCGCTAGAGACCCATAGGCAACGTTGCAAGGCAGCTAATGCTCCCACTTCGCCGCTTATTATGAACTGTTTAACAGGCTCAGAGCGTTCTGAACTGGTGGCCATTGGAGTATGTGCCATCATAGCCACCCAAAACAAGCAACCAATTTTGATCAGTGAGTATAATTTAAAGTTTAAGTTATTATGAACAAAAATCTATATTTATGATAATAACTTTATGTACCCATCAGATACGGTTGATGTTTGGTCTCGCATTTGTGCACAGCGCCAAAACTCGCTGAGGGATTCCGCTATCCTGGAACAGTCGATGCAAATTGTGCTCTGCAATGCTCATAATGTGCTTAACAAACGTAAGCTTCTTAAAATTGCCATAATAATTTAATAATATGTAAATAAAAATGTATCCTTTTTCTATAGGTGGCATAATGACCTCATATCAAATGAAGATGGCGCCGCAGGTGACTGCTAAGGAGCAGCAGGAGACCAAGGATCCGCTTAACGAATTGGATGCACTTTGGAAGATGAAATAAGCGACTGAACCAAACCAACCGATCGTGGCAGATAACTAAAGATATATGTGTAATCAAATCGAGTATTCATACAACTATTTAACTGTGCAAAAACATATTCTAATGGATTGATATTGTTACAAACAATTTATGACAGAGGAAAAGTATTTAAAGGGAAATCGAAATCATTTTTAAATCAATAACGTAATCTTCTCTTTCAACTGTTATTAAAAAGTGTATTTCGAAGTGAACAGCATCGTGATGTTATATGGGATATTGTCAAGCGTTTCAAACCACTACATACGAGTATATTATTTATTAATCAAACATTTATAACACTTAATAAAATACTAAGAAAATCAAATGAAAGTAGAAAGTATTCCTTGTAAAAAATATCAGTAATGAGAGTTATTTCTGACAATCATGAAGGTGATTAATATTCGTTGGAAAGCTTGCCTGCCTAGTTTTATGATTATTGCTTATTTTTTGAGTACCTTGCTGTATTTCGGAATGCATATAACCTATATAGACCCGGTGGAACCGAAAGCGATAAAAAACCAAAGTTATGTGGTACAAAATAATAGAGCTAATGTACGATTTCAGAAGAGCGTGTTATCAAATCCAACAGAAAAGCCACGTTATCGGTTTAGCAGGGGCAGAACTGGTGTCAAGTTCGTTCTTGGAGTGCCCACTGTACTGCGACCCAAAAAGAACTATGTCCTCCAAACCGTCGACTGTTTAATTCGTCGACTGACACCCAAGCAGCGTGATAATTCCCTTATTGTGATCTATGTGGGTGAAACTAACCTTCAGTTTGCCAAGTTCATAGTTCATAAATTAAATCTAAACCATTTGATGCAAATGCAAGCGGGTCTTATTGATGTGATTTCGCCACCTTTGAATTACTATCCCAACTTCTCGAGACTGCACATCACACTGCATGACGACCCGCAGAGAGTTCAGTGGAGGACCAAACAGAACCTGGACTATATATATCTAATGTCCTATGCCCGAACCAAGGGTTCGTATTACCTGCAGCTGGAAGACGATGTGATGTCGAATGAGGGTTTTATGGACTACATACAGAAGTTTGCCATGCTGCATGATCAGTTTCGATTTGCCCATCAGCCTGATTGGATTGTTATGAGTTTCAGTGACCTGGGCTTCATAGGAAAACTCTTTCCCACCTCCGTTCTGAAATCTTTTGTGGCCTACTTGCAACTTTTCTACAATGACCAACCCATTGACTGGTTGCTCCAGAGTTTTGTTACCCTTCAAAGTTGTCGCTGGGATAGTATTTCTCAACCAGAATGTCAACGGGACTACGAATCTAGATTACTTCGTGCTGCACAATCTCAGTTCCAGCATATGGGTGCGTTGTCCTCACTGGCGGAAAAGAAACAACTTCAAAAGGATGGCTTATTCAATAAGAACCTTGGCCGTCAGAGAATGCAGCATCTTCGACAACCTCTCAACCTCATTTCTTCTCATAGGAACTCCCTCCTAAAACAAGATCTTAGCCTGCAAACGGACGAAACTTTCATGTGGATATACATGCCTCAAATGCCAAAGATGATAAAGTATCTAATCAAAAATCAATACAAGAAGACGCAGATCCGCATTCGTAATGCCAAGGAAACTTCAAAAAATCTGGCAGAATTTAATGTGGATTTGGTGAGGGGATCTCCCGAATTTGGGACTAACAAATCAGCTACCGAAAATATTGGATTTATTATGACTCACACTATCCTACAAAGGGAAAAAAATGATGAAAACACAAGTGAGTTATTACCCTATAACTACATGTACTACTACATAAGAGAGGAACCCGAGGGTCTGACCTGGTTCCGTCGATTCCTTTGGATATACAACCGATCTTGTCGATGCACTTTCGGATTCCCATCAAAGTTACTAGTTTTAGTTTGGTTATTGTATAACATTTTTTAAGATAAAATAAACAAATAAGAAGGTTTCCTTCAATATAAAACTTCAAATCTTAATATTATTACATTCCGAAGTATATAAATCCAAACACAAACTTAAAAAATATCAATGAAAAACATTAAAAACTTGATTTTCAAATACTTGAATTATTTATTAAGCTTATACACACATTACACGCATATTTGTTCATCATGTTTTGATTTCGATTAAGTTTTGAGTTGTCCCAACGGCTTATGAATATTGTAAAATTCATTTGTAATAATAATTCAGCTACAATCGTTATGGGTTTTGTGGAAGGGGAAGCCTATAATTTTTCAGTTTTGATCACTATTAACTATTATTGTTGCTTTGCTAATTGGTTGCGTTTTGGCCAAAAATTAGTGTTTTTCGGGGAGAGAGCGAGTGCTGTATAAATTATTGTTGCTAGTTGCCGGCACACATAACACAGGGATATATAAAAATATATATATTTATGTACGTATGATTATGCAATAGCAAAACATTTCATTAATTTGTTCAGTTTTGTTTTTTATCGAAAGCAGTCTACAATATTTGTTACTTTATATATATAGCGGCATATACAAAATGAAACAAGTTAATATTAAGAAGATCGGAACTCAAGAAATAACTATATATGCCACTATATATTACAATTCTCGTTACTCAACAGGAACCAAGTTCAAACAATCATCATTCTTGTTTTTTTTGTTTTAGTTTTTTTCTTTTCTTTTCATAGTCTATCAAAAAATTTGGCGTTTCCAATTAGTTAAACCAATCATAAAATTTCTTGTATGTATATAAAAAATGTATGATTTTTTTTTTTTGGAATTTCGTTTTACAATATCTAATTAGCGTTGTTTGTTTTACATTTATGTGTATATATAATTTAGGTATTTAGTTTTCTTTTTCTTCATTGTTATGCAAAAATTATTAACAAATCACAGTAAAAAAGCAACAATGCTAAAAATCGTTTTCGTTTTTTTATACTTCAATGTTTATGTTAATGCATATTTATATATATATATATTTATGTAGTTATGGCTTCATATTCAAGTAGTTGGCTATATATAAAACTGATTTTAACCATGATGGATGAATTCATAAAATTAACATAAATAATTAGAGTATAGGAATACTTTGAACCAATTAATACAGAGACTAAACATAGGTGTGTAACAACATATAGCTTAATTTTAATTTGATCGATAGATTTTCAGCGAGTTTGAGATTCTCAATCAATTCTTGATCTTGGAAATTCAGCAAATTGAAAACAAATTAAATTGGAATGCTTTTTTTTGTCTCTCTTTCGGTTGCCGATAAAATGAGGTTAACACTTAAGACTAAAGCAAAATAAACCAAAATATTCGAATAACAAAAAGGTATAGAGGGGGGAATAGCTTCAGATACATAGCCTACAACTTGATCGATAGAGCTTAACATTACCACCATGACAAAATGGAAGGGGCACTTGGAGTACATATATCAAAATCCAAATGGATATACGAAAAATTACACTGATAGCTGCTGGGGATCAAATAAGACTTATAGCTTTGACTGCAGACCAATCATATTGCCGAGGCTTATAACGCTTAAGTTAAAGAAACCCTAACAAATTGGTTCTGGGGAGATATAGCAATATCATTAGTCTGCAGTCTTACTTAAGCCTTATAGCTAGGAATAATCACTTATAGTTAAGAGAAGGGGGAGATTCACGATCTGGGAGATTATTTACACATTGAGATAATCGAGGGTAAAAGCATCATTCGAAAAATATACACACAGATGTACAGATATTAGGATAGAGTCGATTTCATTGAGTGCAAAAAACATGGAAAAGTCTAAAGAGCAAAAAAAAAATAATCATTTTCATTGAAAACCAAAACAACTTGATCACTTGAAGCATCGATAATAACATTCAGTTAATTAATCATTCAAGTTTCTCAGACAATTACTTCAAGATACATTTTTGCTCCCACGACTTTTTCTCAACGAAATCGACACGATCCCAACAGATATAGACAATTTGTGGATGAGGATTAGTTTAGACATTAACAGGAGTAGGTTAAGGGGATTTGTTCAGTATTTATGCACCTATTCCTCCAACTCCTGGCGCTGCCGGTGACGATGTAGCAATCAGCTTCCCGCCACAAACCGTGGCTTTGCTGCATTTGTCTCCGACTTGGGATCACTGCTCCACTCCTGCAATTCGATCTCGCTGAGAAGGGCCCAGTTTTCACTGTCACTATGCACATGGAGACGCAACTCCTTAATAGCACCGATCTTTACATCCAATAGACCCTCGGCCACGCCTAAACTATCAAACGCACCCACTACCAGATAGCCATCCGTGGTGGTGTTGTAATTACTCCAAACAGAGGAATTCTCACTTAGCGTATCCGCCGGCAGTAGTTCCACAGTGGTGTTGTAGAACCTATCCGATGGATGCTCCGAGTTTCCACTCCGGAAGAGATAATGTCTCAGCTGCGTGGGACGCTCGAATACGATCTGCACCAAATCTCCAGGCTGTGGTAGCAAGCCCCAGAAGTAGGATTCACCTCTATACGCTCGGTTCAACAGATAGTTCTTATACGGAGCAATATTGGACTTGACCAGAGCCGGTGGATTATGTGTATGGGCATAATACTGTGGCACCTTGTTGCCAAACTGCTTGTCCTTAAGTTTCTGAACCTTTCCCTTAAGCGAAGAACTGGTTCCAATATGCTGGAAAAGGGATTTCCTAAAGTGCTGCCAATATTTTGCCTTCTCAGCATTACAGTGCTTCTGATCCTTATCCGTTCGACACACCTTGGACTCAATAAAGTAGGTGAGTAACCAATCGACTGGCTTGTCATTGTAAAACATTTGGAAATAGGTAATCAGATAGGGTAGCTCCGCACTCTTGAACATCTTGCCAATAAAGCCAAGCTGACAAAAGTCCAACACAAACCAGGCTGGCTGATCGGGTTTAGTCAAGGCGCTCTTAATCAATGCGAATTTCTTCATTGTAGTGATAAACTGTCGCTTGGTCAGTATATCATCCTCCAGCTGAACGTAGAAGGTACCCTTCGAATGGGCATAGGCCATCAGATAGGCAAAGTCCAAATTTTGTTTGCTCCGCCACTTAACTCTCTCCAAAGGATCATTCAGAGTGATGCGAAGTCGCTCGAAGTTGGGATAGTAACTAGGAGCAGGTGCTATTATATCAATCAGTCCACTTTCCACATGTTGCTCGAAACTAGTCTCGATTTGACGGGCAATCAGTTGCACAGAGTCCAGATCTGTTTCCCCAATATAGACAATGATCAACGTTTCATTCTGCTCCTCGTCGTTCATATTCTCGATGAGATTGTGGAGGGTACCGAGGAGATAAGATTGCTTCTCCCTCCGAACGGTGGGCACACCCAGAACAATGCTGACATCCGAACGACCCTTGCTCTGCAAGTAAGCTGGTCGCAGGGAGCCCGCATCATCCAGGAGATGCGGCAAAAAGTGATAGGCATTCGGAAGTCGGATATTCTGACTCCTGGCCATAGAACCATTACCACTGCCAACTTTACTGATATGCGAGGCATTCCTAAGTAGCTGCCTGGCCTCGGGACTCAATCCGTCGAGAAGATTTACCACTGGTAGAGGCGGCGGCGGTGGCGGCGGAGCACTGGCTCCCGTCACATTGACACTCTGCAACTGGCCTAGGTACTGGGATAGCAACGCCACATCCTCCTGGCGAGCACGATACATGGACTCTAAATACTGCAGCCTCATATGACATTCAGCTAGGCGCTGTGTCAGCGACTGTTCGGTGGATAACTCGGGTCCCATCACCATCAGGATCACTATACAGGGCGCCAGCACCAGTGCCGTCACAATCAGCATGCAATTCCGCTGCCTAATCTTGAACATCTTTTGCTCTCCTTCCCTTGGATTTCTTTCGCTGGTTAGGTTATTATATTAATTAGCTAACTGTTTGCCGTAGTGCTGCTTTGCTTCCGTTTCTGGGTTGGCTTTTGGTTCTGGCTCGGTCTCTGGTTGCTTGTGCTGGCGCCGTTCCCTTGGGCCGGCTGTCATCCTCATTCCTCCTATGACTAATGCAGGCGCTGCAACAAAAACAAATTACATTGTTAAGTACACGGCTACAAAAAAGGTGAATACATTTACATACAAAATAGAGTATAGTTCGTTTTGCTCATCAAAAAAACTTTTAAACGTAAAATCGCTAATTGCTTTTTTAGGCAAAAAATTCCATTATAGTGCACTCGCCCTTTTTAGACGTCTTTTTTTTTTCTATAATAAACAAGTGTTTTTTTTTAGAGTGTGATGTGATGGCCCACAGTGTGATGTGATGGTAGGTTGGGGGTCTGGGGCATAGACTGAAGGTCGCACCGTTTAACGGTTCTTTGTAGGTGCCTTTTTTGCCTTACCCGAGTTGGATTAACGACGTCGTCGGTGGTGGCAGCTGTCGCAATTCTCGCCACATGACCTGGCCATGGGTATAGAATAATAATAATAATTGTTATGTACTGTGCACTCAAGACGTTGATGCCAGCAGGCAGTAGACCTAGACTTACATGGCCAAGAGCCCGGAAAGTATTCCTTCTTTTGTTCTCCTCTCCCTTTCTCCGCCGCCCAAAAGTTCGATCGGTATCGGTGGGTCTGTAAGTGAAGGAAACGCTGTTTACTGTTTGCTAATTGGAAATAGTTAGGGCTTTGCCAGTGCCGAAGATAGGGTATATTCAGAACTGGAAGGTGGTTTAGGTCTAATTATTAGGGGTCTTTTGGATCTTTTTGTCATTACTCTTAATTATTCATTAAGGATTACTTGGAGTTAATTAAATGTCGCAGGGGGAATCAAGCGTAAGATACTTTTTGCTAATGGATTGAACTCATTTAACCCCATATAAAGCAAACGAATTAATTAAACTCACTTAACCCGATTAAATGAACTCCAGTTTGAGTTCAATATGTTTTTTTTAAAATACGTTTCTATTGAAAAAATGGTTGGTTATATTTTTTAACATTTTTATTTTTTATTTTTTTTTATTTATTTTTTTTTTTTGTTTCTTTTTTTTTTTATTTGGTTATCAATTATTTTACACTAAAGATCATCTTTTGGCCATGTGCGAATGTTAACAATGCGGTGATATTAATTTTCGCACTCCGTTTAGCGTTCGTGGGCGAAGGTAAACAAATGGTTCACAAAGATAAACAGATAAATAGGTAAATAAACAGGAACACCCAAAAGTTCGCACCCACGCACACACACCCTTACACACAAAACACACGCACACCCTTATTTACTCACACTTGATTGCAGCTCAAATGGGCAAATAAATGAATTAATTAATTAATAAGCACTTAAATAGGAACAAATTGAACGCAGTGGCTTTTATTTATCCATCTATGGATTTTGTACGCTGGGTGTTGTCGCCAATTCGCAGTTTATTGCCTTTTTCGGTGCGAACCGTTTTTTCGCCATTCGTTTTTCGCACGCGTCTTTCGTTGTTTTACATCTTTACTTTCGACCACCGCGTGCGTTATGTAAATGAAAGTGATGTATATTATTGCAACACTCTCGGATTGCTTTGCTATTGTTTAACGCTATATACAATGCAATATATAATGTTATATACAGCGGGGAATTTATCAGTGTGACCAGACGGTGGAACGGCTTCCAACCAACTGCTCTTGAGCGACCGATTTTTCGATTATAAATAACCACTTTTTCCACAAATTTGAATTAAACCTTCATATTCATGTATATATATGATATTCTGATGTATATTATTATTGTATTGTATTGTATTATTATCATTTATACAGTTGTATTTTAACTGTATAATTAAATAAACTTCGAGAAGAAAGAAATAAAAACGTTCTTTTGTACTGCCGCGAAATAACAATCGTAATCGATAAAATGAACTGCCAGACTGTTGTTTTCGTTTGAAATATGGCAACTCTATCATAAGCTTAATTTAACAGCTGTTAAACCGACAAACAACAGGTTCCTGTAATTCCCCATCTCTAGCGGCTATATTATTGCATTTTCTGATATCGATTGTTTTCTTAAAAATAATAATAATATATTTAAATAAACACCTAAGCAGCCGTCTGAAATCCCCTTTAAATTTAGGTAGCTGTGCAATTTCCAAATAGGCGAGGGCATGAAAAAAAGCAATCTAATCTTTGCACAGAACTAATTGATGAAAGCATACTTAAAGCAAAAGAACAATTTTGGACTGCAAAATTTTGCAAAAATGTACTTGACTCTGCTAAACGGAACCGGCTTTGTTTTTAATGTGGATGGTAAGCGGATTTATTGTCATATATTAACAACACTAAACTTGACTATTATGTCTTACAGATTATATGGAACTGCGGAGCAAACACCGGATAATGGGTGCTCCAGTAGGAACAGCGAACACAAAAGGCTGGAGTCCCAATCAGTCAAGTATGTTATCCCCTTTAATAAAAGACATTTTTCGGTTTTTTTTATAAAATGACTCCTCAGATATATGTTTTTTCATTAAATTACCTTACCTTACAGCTCTACCAGTGGAGCTAAGTATATTTGAAACCCAACTACTTTTGGAAGAGAATATAGCAAAGTTAGTGGATAAATCTCAAGATCTAAAAGCAAAACTCACAGCAGAGAAACAAAAGGAGCACAAGGCAGATTTCGAAACCCGATTACTGGGTCAGGAGGAAGCCTTAAAATCGGAAAAGCTGAGAGAAACTAAACGATACATGGATAAAATCCTGGCTGGGAAGCGCAACAAGTTGCTGAAGCAGGGCAAAAAGGAAATTGGTAAGTAATCTATCTGTTGCTAAACTGTTTTATTATATTCAATTATAAAAATTATAGTGATTTTTATTGTGATTAGTTTTATTAGTTTTATTTTAGGTGTGCCTTGATTTTAAAAATGATTTAGTTATTCATTTAGAGGTTTGTTTTACTAATATGCAAATCATCATTTAAATTTCCTTATAGCTGAAGCCTTAACTGAGGACGATGTACTTAAGAAAATGTCGGAAAATTTCAAATTTGATCGCCAAAATGCTTTGGTGGAGGTGCCTTGTGAACATCTTAAAGATCACTGTAGATATGAAAACCATTATCTCTTAATAAAATACTTTAAAAGCCGTTTCTTAAACAGCTGCACAAATAGTTCCCGGACCTATTGTGAACGTAAGCTCCCTGAAATACCGCATTTTCAAAGACCTTTGGAAGCGAGGTAAATATGTGACCTCTGGTGACGCTTTTGGAGCGGACTTTCTGGTTTACCCCGGTGATCCCCTGATCTACCACGCCTCGCACATTGTAATTATACATGAGAGCCCTATAATTAAGCCCCTAGAAATGGTGGCCAAAGTTCGTCTATCGGTTATAGTCAACAAAAGCTGCGTATTTGCCTACGAGAATGAAAATGACGGGGAAATCCATTACCAAACTGTCACATGGTATAATCCCAGCAAGTGAGGTAAGTAAATTACTTAAATTATAGATATAAATCTAGTTAATACAAAAAGTTACATATTTTGAACCTGGGCTACTGAATTTATGAAGGTTTTCGATCCCAGAATGAAAAATAGATAAGATAATTAATCCAAAGAACTATTTTGTGGCGATTACCAAGTTTATTAGAATCATTTCTAATAGTCTTAAAAAATCATACATTTTTAATAGTATTTCAGTCACTTACCAGGGATTTGTTTGTTTCTTATATGTAAGTATGTAGATTTTGAAAGTGGATATATAGATACATTTCTGACAGTGTAGTACATATTTTTGCTCCAAAGAATCTAATTTTTTTTAAGAATGAGCGGGAGAGAGCGGGATTTCCGTGAGCATGGGTTTTGTTTTTGGCGCCGAATTGGGTTTTATTTTTTCAGAGGAAATTGGATACAATGCCAGAGACACGACGCCGCTACCGCCACATCCCGCCCCGTCACCTTTTCCGGCCGCCCTACTTCTCTTCTTTGTGGCGGACTCTCCACGTTGCTCCGTCTCGCTCTGAGCAGCAGGAGCAGCGCCAGAAACCGTTTCTCCCACTCACAGTTGGAAATTGTACACAGTACACATGGTAAAATCGGGTTTATTATGACCACGACATCCAACTCGAGGAGATGTTTGCTCGCCATTTCGTTCAGGGTCCATTGTTACAGTTTTTCTAGTCGGCACTGCGAACGACTCTATAAAGTTTTGTTAAATTAATTAGTGATACAAAATGAGGTTATAATTTAAATGGCCCCCACCGAACGCCAGAACATACATACATACATACATACACATACACGCAATCGGCGATAGGCAAACACGTCGCGTACATTTGCGTATTTGTTTTCAACAAATTTGTGCTGAATTCTTCATGTTTTGCGTTCGTTTCAAGTATATTCAGTTTTTTTCGTTTTTTTAAATAGAAACAACAACGTCGATAAGGCGCGGTGGGGAAGGCCAGGCTAAAGTCGTGCCACGCCGTTCGAGTTTCATACACTCGGGTTGTCGCACAGTGGCACGAATTTAAACCTTTTATTTGAGAGATTATTTGATTTACCTACCTGGAATTCTTAGTACGTTGTTATTTTCACAACGAATTTTCTTAGTACTTTCACTACTTATAAAATTTTATTTCTAGTAAATCTTTATAAACTGATTTCCAAAACTTTAAGACTATACTTTAGATCACACGTCTTACCCTTGAAAAACAGTAAATTATTTATATATGTATGTATATTAAACTCCAAAAACTGAAATAACCACAATTTCAGCCTGTAACTCTTCTTTCTTTTCTAAAATATTTTTAGTAGTCACTTAGTAAAAAATGTAAACTTGAACCGTGTGTGAATTTTTTTTTACATTTTCGTGTATGTAGCCCACTGTATTTGGTTCGCGCTTATTCCGCCGCCCCTCTCATTCCTACTCCCCCAAACCATTCCGCCTCGTCACCCAACACCGCCCCCTGCCACGAACGCTCTCTACCTCTCTTGCCATGCTCTGTTGGTCGGCATTGCCAACTACGAAATATGCTCACTGCTTTAACGCCGATTGGAACTTTAAAGGGGCCTTTCGAACGGCATTTCTCATGCTGTGCTCCCCTCCTCCTCCCCAGCAGCATCAAAACAGAGAAAATTGTAATCTTTAAAATTCGGCCACTCGCCGCTCACTTTATATTACTTTCTTCTCTGAGCATTGGATAGAACTGACACTCTATTCCTCTCCTCTCCTTCAGTTTTGGATTTCGACTAACTTCCCTATCGCGGGGGTCTCTCCGCTCTTAAGCGGGACTTGATCTGCATATGAGAATGAGAATGGCTATATGTTTTTCTATATGTTTTTACCCCATAGGTCTCAGAGATGTGTCAAAAGTAACAGGTGATTGGCAAGGAGAGAGGAGAGTCAGAGACGGAGAAAAGAGAATGTAGAACCGTAAGAGCGAGCCGGCTTTTCTACCAGTTGTTATTATTTTTACAGGATCTGTTGATATTTTGGAATAAAAGAGAAAACCTCATCCCAATGTGCAGGTTTTAAACAATTTAAATACATAATAAGGTGGTATCAAAAAAGGTATCACTTTTGATAGGGAATCCTTTCCTTATCTGAAATTTTGTTAATCTTAGCTAATCCTAAAAAAGTTAGTTTCCTTATAACTTTAATTTGTCTTAACTACACTACTTTATTCTTGTTTATGGGATTCGAATTTTTTGTTTATACATTTGATAGTAGTCATCTTGAAGTAACCACCTTTCTAATCAAAATATTAATTACTGATTAATTATTTCATAACATTTAAATGTTTTAATTAAGTTTGAAATAAAGCCAAGAAAAATGTAACATATTTATTTTAGATTCTGAAATTTATAACATTCTGTCAGAGAAAGTATCTAATCTTCTTTTCTTCTATTCTTATCACTAAACCGAATTGCACAATCGCAAAAATTAAATTATCCCCAAAAAATTCGAATCAAAATAATTTTGAATATTTTGCACCCGGATTAGTTAGTTTTATAAACATGAGGACCCAAATGACCTTTCTTATCTCGCGCAGAGATTCGTCCGCTTAGTTGGCCACATGTGTTCCGGGTCCGTGATGTCGGCCCAGAATATTTCCATTATTCAATATTTACCACCTTTTATAGTTTTGTTTACTATCTTGCCGACGTCTTTTTTTTGTATTCCATTCAATCGTCGTCTTACTCTCCTCTCCCTGCCTAAAAATACTCTTTCTTAACTTCATCTGGCAATGCCGCTCGACAACTGTACTTCAAAGAGCGTTGCCAGGCCAGGCCAGTTCTCTCACAGATACACGTACGCACGCACACGAGCGCAAAAACAACCACCAACAGAAATTCAGAAATAAAATTTTCTCCCCCCGAGTAGAGAACTGAAAAACTGGTCGCGCTGGCAGCGCCGGAGCAGCGAAATTCGATCGAAGCCATTTACTCAGTCTCAGTTCGAGTTATCCAACGTTGGCGAGCGGACAAACAAGCAGGAGAAAAAAGCGTACGGCCAAGAGAAAGAGAAGGCAAAATCACCCACAGCCACTGAAATTTTCTTTTGCGCTCCGGTGAGAAGATAATTTCACAAACCAAATCGACAAAACAAAAAAATAAAAGTGCGCTCCGTGAGCGGGAAAACAATAACAAAATCAAGAGACAAGCGGTTATAAAACATACAAAAAACAGAGCGAACAAAAAAAAAATCAAATGCGTGTCTCATGGCTTGACTGTACTGTATATTAGGAAGCAAAATATGTGATTGTGTCTGTCTGTCCTGTTTCTACATTGTTTGTGTGCGTCTGTGTGCCGTTGTCGTTCTTAAATGTGGCGCGCTATTTTTGTGTGATTTTTGTCGGCAGCAACGAATTTTGAAACAAAAATTTTCTACTAGTAGTTCCCCTTGTGAAAAAGTCTCCTCCAACAACAAAATTCCTGTGAGCAGCCTACACACATGCGTTGTCTCGCTCTCGCGCGCTCTGGCCCCAAAAGAGTGCAAGAGCGGGAGAGTGAGAGAATGAGCGAGAGAGAGAGAGCTAATAACTAACTCTGGTACTCTTTTTGTTTTTTTACATTTCAGTTTCGAGAAAGCAGCGCGCCAAGCAGCAAAAAGAAGAAGAAGAAGCAGAGGGAGTTTAAAAAGCAGTGGCGTAGTTGAAGGAGGAGTGGAAGGGGATTTTTATAAAAATCCCAACTTGAAGAGATTTTTCCCCGCAACCGGTAAACATTAAATCGTCGTGTTGGAGACAAACAGCAGCGAATACGCTAGCAACGCTGGGGAGGAACAACAATTGTTGGATTTGGACGCGACGGCTCTGATGTCGCTGCCAATGAATTCGCTGTATTCGCTCACCTGGGGCGATTACGGCACTAGCCTCGTATCAGCCATCCAATTGTTGCGCTGCCATGGCGACCTCGTCGATTGCACGTTAGCAGCCGGCGGGCGGAGTTTTCCCGCCCACAAGATAGTCCTATGCGCCGCCTCCCCTTTTCTGCTGGACTTGCTCAAGGTAAGTGTTAAACTTTCAAATAAATGTCACTGTAAAAATACTATTTTTAAAAAAAGAGAGTTAACACCTCTCATAACCTCAAACGTGGCGTACAGTTTGTAAACAGAGAAATCCAATCGCAGAAATAGGTTAACGTGTGGAGCGCAGAGAAACTTACACACACAATCAAATTATATATCGCAGATTTACGCTCCGCTCCAAAAGTTGTCTAGAGATTTCTGTACAAGTTTTCCACTGTCAATTGAGTTGAATGAGTGGCTCCGCCTCCCCTCGCACTCTTTCCTCCCTTCGCTTATCAGCTTTTTCTTGATGCAAAGTTCACCAGAGAGAGAGACGGTGAGAGGTAGAGACAGAGCGCAGACGGAGAGGGAGAGAGCGAGAGAACCAGTTGGTTTGACGTGAAAAAAGTGGGTGGCCCCTGGGTGGTTAGGAAAGAGGGGTGAGAGGCAAAAGCTGCTGCGCCAACTTTCAGTTAGCATGTGTTAGAGCGAGCGCAAACGAGAGCGCCAAAAAAGCAGCGCGGCAACTGTTTGTAGTTGTTGGCGTGTTGGAGCTTTTGTCTTGCCTTTTGGTTCTTGCCGTTGTTGTTGTTGGGTGCACACGAGCGCGACCTCTTTTTTCACTAGCAGAACTGTACAGTTGGCACTGGCTAAGAGGAAATTAGAAACCGTGGGGAGATTAATGTTCAAATTGTTTGATTACTTCGCTTAAGTATTAAATAGTAATTTAATTATTAATAAAACATGATCCTGTAATTTATATGAAGTATTTTTTTGTCTTGCCGTGTATTAAATTACAATTATATTATACTCTCAAAATGTTAAGTATTTCATTTATTTCTATAGACATAACGTTTTGCACCGATCGAAAACAGTAGACAAAATATGACGGTTTTATGTTTGTGCCTCTTTTGAATATAGTAGATGTCCTCATCCAGCATATAAACTTTTTAATCACATTTATTCGTATGAAGATAAGTAAGTTCATCTAGGGGTCGAATTAAAGCTTGTTGGAGTTTCCCTTTTAACGACTTCGTACCGTAATCGCAGAAACTATAGCATTTCATATCAGGAGGGCACACTTTTGAATGGAGCTTGGCTACTTTTTCTTCATTTTCGTGAGCTGCTTTCTAGTCCATTTGCAGCGATACTGTACTTTTAAGTTATTCATTTGCATTTCCACTTTACTTTAGTGTTTTCCGCCAGTCACTCTATTGAACGTGCAAAATATGCGTCAAAGTACAAAATTCAGAGCGCATCCAATGCGTGGCCCTATCGAAATGGAAATGCTGACCAAAACAGAGCGCGGCCAGCAAAATAAAAACACCTGATGCGACGCCGGCAGCGACTCTTCTCTCCGCTCCCCTCTCTTCATGTCTTTATTCTCCTCTCCTTTATTCTCAAACCAGTGAAAAAAGTAAACAGAGCGTAATTTTTAAAAACGCCGCTCAGAGCTGTTGGGGAAATGTCAAAAGAAGAAGAAGAAAAAGAACAGGAAAAAAAATGAGGCTGTGAACTCTGCAAGAGTCCGAAATATGTACAAGATGTACTGATCTCGTTACACTCACACACGCACGCAAAAACACATGGCAGCCGCTCTTTGTTGCTCTTGTTCTTTCCCTCTCCCTTGCTCCTATGGCAAAATGGAATGCAACTCAGAAAAATCGATGAGCGAGACGGGGGGTGGTAGAGTTCAAAGAGCGTAATGGGGAGTGGAAATTGAAGTGGGAGAGGGAGGGTAAATGACATTTAAAGAGATTGGCATTGAAGATGGTAAGGGAGGTAGTTGAGAGGGAGAAGGGTGGTTTCTGAGCAGCGTTTGCTAATTAAATGTCCGGAGCGCGGGAGAAGGAGTAAGAGTGGGAGTGAGAGAGGGAGCGGACAGCTAAGCGCTCTTTCTTAGAGCAGTGCTCTGTTTTCTTTTTCAGCATCTCGAAATCTCCTCAAAATCCTGCTGCAGAATGTGCAGAGCGCGCAAAAGTAAAAGCCGGCTGTCTTTTGTCTCTGTCAATGTGTGCGTGAGCGGTGGAGAGTGTGGTGTGTGAGTGTAAGTGCCGCGCCGCGACGCGAGTTTCCATTATTTCCATCTCCGAACGTCTGATTTTGTTTTGGTTTTTGTTTGTTTTGGCGGACGGACTGAATGGCCTCTCAATTCTCGCTCTGCCAAAAATGCGAGGCAATCTCAAAACAAATAACTCTCTCTAGGATTGAGTTTGAGCCATGGCAAGAGACGAACGAAGAATCTCTTAACTTTCCAAATGGTCAAAAGTTTATTTATAGTCAAAGTTATAAACAAAAGAAATACTGTTTAAAAAAAAACACTACTTTTGATTACTTTGCCTAGGATATACTATTATGATTATTATATTATAATAATGATTATTTTTATGCTAGAAAGAGATACCTCAATAAATCCAATTATCTTATTTTCGTATATCTCAGATTCATTTTAACGATTCACATATTTTGCATAATAATGAGAACATCTTAGAAAGTTGTTTATTATCTGTATTACAAAAATTCATTAATTTAATTTAATTTTTTTCTTTATATTTTAGAATACACCATGCAAGCATCCAGTGGTAATGTTGGCCGGCGTAAATGCGAACGATCTGGAGGCTCTGCTGGAGTTTGTGTACCGTGGCGAGGTCAGCGTTGACCATGCCCAGTTGCCATCACTGCTGCAGGCCGCCCAGTGTCTTAACATCCAGGGACTGGCCCCGCAGACGGTGACCAAAGATGACTACACTACGCACTCTATACAACTCCAGCATATGATTCCCCAGCATCACGACCAGGACCAACTGATAGCCACAATCGCCACGGCCCCACAGCAAACCGTTCATGCCCAAGTGGTGGAGGATATCCATCATCAGGGCCAGATACTCCAGGCAACGACACAGACTAACGCAGCGGCACAACAGCAGACCATTGTAACCACGGATGCGGCTAAACATGACCAGGCAGTTATTCAGGCATTCCTTCCGGCACGTAAGCGCAAGCCGCGCGTCAAGAAAATGTCACGTAAGTTTGAAAATCTTCAAAATCCTTCGAATTGAAAACAATTGTTGAGCTTATAAGTATGTTAATATCAAATATAATAATAATTTCTTCTTTTGCAGCCACGGCACCGAAAATAAGCAAAGTTGAAGGAATGGACACGATTATGGGCACACCGACCTCTTCACACGGCTCAGGATCCGTGCAACAGGTGCTCGGCGAAAATGGAGCCGAGGGCCAGCTGCTTACACCGATCATCAAGAGTGAAGGACAAAAGGTAGAGACAATTGTGACTATGGACCCCAGCAACATGATACCGGTAACGTCGGCCAATGCGGCAACTGGCGAGATAACAACGGCACAAGGAGCCACTGGCTCATCCGGCGGCAATTCAAGCGGCGTCTCATCCACGCCAAAGGCTAAACGTGCTAAACATCCACCCGGAGCAGAAAGTAAGTTGCAATTTAGGTTATTTCACTTTTTGGTATAAAGTGATTACGAATTTGTATATCCTTATCCTTTAAGCTATTCCTAATACTAAACTATTTTCGTTTTTCAATTTTTAGAACCACGTTCGCGGTCACAATCGGAACAACCTGCTACTTGCCCAATTTGCTATGCTGTCATTCGTCAATCTAGGAACCTGCGGCGCCATCTTGAGCTGCGGCACTTTGCCAAGCCGGGTGTGAAGAAGGAGAAGAAAAGTAAGTCCGGTAACGATTCAACCCTTGACTCCAGCTTGGAGCTAAACACCACGGCAGAGGGCGACAACACAGTGGGCAGTGATGGACCAGTCGGAGCGGGATCAGCTGGAGGACAATCATCTGGTACGACGCCAACGAGAGTGATATCGAATGCACCGCAGGCCGCGGGGGCACCGGCCATCCTGGCCCAAAGTGTGCTGCCACAGCAGCAGCAGCAATTGCAGCAACATCAGCATATGACCACGGCAACATTAGCGGGTGGTGGTCAGGCATACATCAAACACGAGGGCAGCGGCGGAGGTGGCGCTGGGCAGCAACAGCAGGCGCAACAGCAGGGCATGCAGAACGTCATACACATTGTGGGCGATCAGGTCTTCATGCCGCAGCAACAACAGCCGCAGCCGCAGTAGCTGCCTCCTGCCTAGCCTTCAATCATTCCAACGCACCAACGACACCATCATCCACATTTCCAAAAGAAAAACAAAAAACAAAAAACCACTTTCGCATAACACACACACACACACACACAAGAAATCGTTTTGTAAATAACAATCAAACAAACAAACAAATTCCCCGTGATCTGATCGAATGATTTGTGTTCATTTCCTGTATCATTTTTAATTTTTTCATAATTGCTGCGTAAGTTTTTAATTAGCTAAACTTTTCCAAAATTGCGCTTTAAACATATATATTTAACATTTCCTTATGCAGTATTTTCTTGCATATTGTACTACAGAGAAAAGAAAAGAGAGAATTCGGCATGTCTCCACGTAAATAAATACTCGACTAATTTACTTAAATAACATAATTAGTGTCGCAAATAATTGTTGTAAAAATTAAATGTACAATTACAATCGAGGATCGCAATCGGTTTAAGTTTCTCTATTTTAAATATTATATTACAAATTGTTTAATTAATAAAATATTATATATTTTTTTATATAACAAAACAAAACAAAAAAAAAAGACGAAATTAATCTCTGCCTTTGGCATGGACTTTAATTTTTTTGCAATTGGCTGTTTGTTATCGTTATCGTTTCTCTTAGTTGCAAGAAAATACTGTTGGTCCATTTCCTAAGCTACTAACTTGGTACAGATCTTAGGTCTGTACTAAAAATACCCTGCCAAAAGAGTTGTTTGAAACTTTAAATGATTGGAACAAATCTGGCGGATGTAGAATTGACAACCTGGCTGATAGTCGTAGTTACTTACTAGTTTTGAATGTCTTTTGTTATTGTTTTATTTTAACTAAATGTTTTAACATTGTTTTCTGTTTTTAAAATTGTTTTTGACCCTAGATCTCTTGTTTTGTTTTATTAACCATATTGATTTGTTTTTGTTTTAATAACAGATTAAACTTTGTTTCTTTTTTTTTTGTAACATCCTTTCATCTACACGAAATCACACATTTTTATCATCTCTCTCTGGCTGTAGTCCTAGAAGGTCGCGTTGTTTCTCTGTTGGGCCAGCGATGTTGCTGTAGTGTCGTCCTCTCGCTCTGTATTAAACTATTACTATCTCCCCTGTGTAGTTTGGTCCAACTCAGCTGCAGTTTTCTCACCAGCAACTCCTCTTCCTTTACAGCAACCAGTGGAAAAAAGTCTAGTAGCGGATCCAGCGGTTCGGGCTCAGGTGGAAGTGGAGCCTTGAGCTCCAGCGGCAGTGTGCCACAGGTGCAGACGGTGCAGTCATTGCATACGTTGCAAGGTGTGCAGGTCAAGAAAGATCCCGATGCTCAGCAACAGCAGCAGCAACAGCAACAACAACAGCAGCAGCAAGCAATGGCAGTGAGTGGTTCAGCGGGCGGACAAGTGCAACAGGTGCAGCAAGTGCAACAACAACAAGTCCAGCAGCAGCAACAACAGTTGCAACATCACCAAATCATAGACTCATCGGGCAATATAACAACTGCAACGACGAGCGCTCAAGCGGCAGCTGCCGCTCAACAACAGGCGGCCAGTCAGCAGCAACAACTAGTGGCACAAACTGCTGATGGCAGCGAGAGTGGGGCACCGCTATCGATTGCCCAGGTTCAGACGCTGCAGGGTCATCAGATCATAGGCAATATAAATCAGGTGAATATGACTGACTTCCAGCAACAACAACAGCAGCAGCAGCAACAACAACAACAGCAGCAGCAACAACAACAGCAGCAGCAGCAACAACAGCAACAGCAAACACAACAGACGCTTTGAACGGGACCGAACACACAATTCTATATAGTTCTATATAATAATTAATTTTTTGGGTTTTTTGCTAAACGCTTTAAATATTCTCCTCGCACTGTGCGTAGACAAATTCTAAATTAATTTTAAAGCCCCAGAAGGCACCCTTAGTTGTTTACCATTTTGTTGTACAATTTTTAATGACCTTAAATGTTGATTTAGTTACGCTTAAACGCGCTATGGTTATTGGAAATTATGTGCATATTATATATATATATATTATAAACCTTTTTATTTTGTATAGTTTTACATTATACCAATGTCCCAATGCTAGAGGATCTCTAGTCAGTTTGAAGTCATCCAGATTAGTGAAAATCTTTCAAAGAAGGTTCCCTTGTTCATGACCTGGCTTGGTCTTAAACGATAGCACCTTGCAAATTCAAAAAATTCAAATTAAATATAAATATATTTTTAGATAGCTTACAAATTTTTTAACTATTTAAGCAGCTCATAAATAGTTGATCTGATCAAATGAGAGCTCGCTCAAGAGGGTTTCTTATAGCCCCATTATGTGTCTGCCCACCAAACAACAACTCAATCAATAAATTAATCAATCAATCAATCAATCTTTCCGATTTGGCTACTTTTGTTTTTATCTAAGAAGTACTATGCACATTAAGTTTTAATCAAATCAATTTTTATATGTATATTTCTTAATTTTAATAGTTGCAAATTTTTCTTAATATATAGTTACCCTTTGTACTATTTGAGTTAGATGAAATATGTTCCTGTGAATTATGATTTAATTATATAAATTTGAAGGCAAGGGAATATTGCATCTATCTGAAGTGGTCAAGTTATTGTTAGTCGTCTCTTTACATACTTAAATAAAATCTAATTTTATTTAAAACCAAAAAAAAACAGTAAAATAAAACAAAAAACCTTTTTAAACACAATTTTCATCAGAATTTTCTTTTTTATGTTGAATGCTTATTTCGGTGATGGTTTTTTTTTATTATTTTATTAGCTTGTAATTATTGTAAAAAAGTATTTATTATAAGTACTTATTTGTATTTCATAAGAATCATTATTTTATTTAAGTCTGTTTATTGGCATGGCTTTTATTAATTTGTAATATTATTTATAAGCTTTTCTAATTTCCATGACTGTTGACTGAAAAATACCATTTTAATCAGATATAATGACAGAAATAATATTAAAAATCATATTGTGACTAATTGCACTTAAAAAGGCACAACTACACACTGCCAACAAACTCATCCACATCACACGCATTAATCCACATGATCTTACACCATTTTGTGGCACATTACCAAATCATTAACGAATCGTTTTTATCTTGTCTTCTTCTCTTTCTCGCTGCGCCACGTTAATAACAATTACAAAATGTAACCATCAAACTCAAAACATTTGTGTGTTAAAACTAAAAACTCATCATGCATCCCACAACCAATCGAAATCATTAAAAACAAAATTAGGGCAACAACAAGAACATTTTGGTAAAGAAGGTTTTCATTTTGAAAGGCGGTAATAATACGTAATGATGAGCCAACGATATGTCCAGCGGCCCTGGAGGAGGAGGCGGGAGCGGGCAACAGCAGCAGCAGCAACATAACACAAGCAGCAGCAGCAACAGCAACAACAATAATGGCACGACAGCAGCAACAACATTAAGCAGCAGCAATAACAGCAGGAGCAACACGCCAGCAACATCAACATCATCGACTGCAACTGGAACGGGAACAACATCCACACTTCAGCGTCGAATCCTGCGCGGTCATGCAGCGCAGACAACCAGTGGCGAACGTGTCTTGCTCATCAACTATGTGCCACAGTCGGGTGCATCAGCAACCGCAACTACACAGAGTACATCTCAATTGCCCACCCGTAAGATACTCCAGGCCAGAGCCACGGCATCAGCAGCAGCAGCTATAGCATCATCATCTGTAGGGGGAGGAGGAGGAGGAGGAGCATCGTCCTCTTCGCCACCATCCACGCCAGCTGTCTCGTTTGCCGGACTAGGCTCCGAGGTGACCGTCACCTTGACGCGCACAAATCAGCGCGCCAGCGTTACCAGTGTCACAGCCGCCGGTCATATTGTTAGGAATCAGCAAGCATCAACCTATCACCAGAGCACAAACACAGCCACCACAGCATCGACCTCGAGCGGCACATCGGCTATCCACGAGCACATAGCCACATCAACGTCGCCGCCGCCATTGGTCTTCACACATCATCCACATCATCATCATAGCCAACAGCAGCAGCAGCAGCAGCATGAGTATCATCAAGACCACCAATTGGTAGATCATCATCAGCTGGATCAAGAGCACATAATTATAGACCATCATCAGCAGACGGAGGAGGATCAGTTGATAGAATACGATGATGGCGGAACGATTGACGAGCAGCATCATCAGTTGCAATTGCAGGAGGACCTACACGATCCCCAGCAGCAGCAACACCATGACGTTGTCCAAGAGGTGTATCTCCAGTAAGAGAGATTAGTAATTAAGATATAGCGAGATAAGTTTTAGCCATTCTTTATATAACAAAAAAAAACAAAAAGAACATTTGGGATAGCCAAAATGTGTGCAAACAAAAAATCGAATTTGCCAAAGCTTTAATTTGGAAATTTTTTTAAAAAATTCATCAGTACCCCTAAGTTAGTTATCTTTTAAATTTTCATAAACCTATTTTATATTTTAATTGCACACATTTTGAGAAATACCAACACGGTTAGTGTAAATATATACAACCAATATTGATAAATAACCTTAGAAACAATGACTTTTTAGAAGGCATTCGTTTTAATTTGTATAAAGTTTTCAGACAAGTAGGCAAATATTTTCCAATGAAAGTATTAAAATTAAAATATTAACAAAAATACAAAACAAATGCAATTAACTGGCGGTGTATAAAGATTATTTTTGTACTATACAAATACCGCTAATAAATACTGGCTAGTTTAGAACAAAACAATGCACATTAAATAACCATTGACGATCTATTCTATTAGTTATTGTCAGTTGAAGATTAAAACAAAAAGGTACGAAATCGTAATCAATTGTATTATATATTGACTTCAATTTAGAAATCAAACCAAAATTCGCACATAATATGAATCGATTCAAATCTTATTGTTCGAAAACTGTTGAAATAGAAAGGGCCCTTTGGATTACGATAGGAGTATATCGATATAGGTCTGTCTATAATCGATATATTCCTGTAATCCAGTATTTGGGGCCAAAGGCAATAAAGCAAGCCGGTTTGTGTACTGAAAGAAACATTTAAAAACTGAATTTTTATGGGTGCAGAAAGAAATTGTTAAATTTCGGGTGAAAAAAAAAACAGCTTAGACTCTTATAATTTTAATTATTTATTGTTTGTTGCCTTTGTAACGGTTGCCTATACACAATGTTGTCTTCTAATATACAAAAAGCCATTTAACAGCTATCCTTTTTTAACTATTTACAATTTGTATTAATTTTTTACAAGTAGCAAACTAAAAAGCTACAAAAAATTACATACTACTATAGGTTTTTGTTTATATATTTAATTTACAGGATGTTTTTTTTGTTGTTGTTACCAATTAAAATGTCAGACCTACGGATTGGTAAGCTTAAAGTGGAGCGCTTGCAAGTGTTTTGAATACACAATTTCGTAATTGAATTGCAATATCTACAAAAAGTTTGTTTTCTCATTAGCAATATATAATCAGGCACTAGCTAGACAATGTTTTTTCCTTTCAATTGCAGCTATTTTAAATAATTGTTTTTCGTTTGATTTTTACTTTTATCTCATTAAGTTTAAAATGTCTTAAAATGCAATTTGAAAAGATTATTGTTCCAAGTTATCTTATAACACTTTTGGACCTGCATTATGTTTGTTTATAGTTTTATTTTTTTTTGTTTAATCTTTTTGTGTTTAAGCATTTTGAACTTTATATCAATTTGATTTTCTTTTGATTAACTAGCTTGTTTAAGTTTGTTGTTTAATTTGCGAATTTATTTAACTTTTTTAAGTACCAATTTTTGTTTGTCACTGTTCTAGTAGCAGCTGAAAAATTGTCTCAGAACACAGCTAATCCTCGATATTATCTGGCAATTACAACTATTTTGTCTATAATGTCTGTGTTTTTGTTATTTGTTTATCAATGTTTATGTTGCACATTTATTGCCCTGTCTACTTGGCACTTTTCATGAGGCGACTGCTGGAAAAGCATTCCCCAAAGAATCGATCCAGCGAATGATACAAATGTGGGCGCACATTGGACAGGCCATGATCCTCGTCAGCGTAGCTCTGAAAGGGTATTTAAATAAGTTATTTCTGATAATTTGTTTTTTTTACCAAGCTTAATACTTACAATCTGCTTAAAAAGAATGTCTTGACGCTCTAGATTCTTGGCCAAGATCATGGCTTGCTGGTAGTGGACGTTGTCATCCAAAGTGCCATGGACCAGCAGATATTTCTTACCCCTCAGCTTCACGGCCATGGTGCTCAGTCTAGAATTGGCATAGCCCACCTCATTCGTATTGGGAAGACCCATATAACGCTCTGTGTAAATGGAGTCTGAAAGGAAAGAAAATTTATATTAATATAGTTAAGAGATTAAGGGTTAAGCCAACCCACCATAGTAAGCCCAATCTGTGACTGGAGCTATCGAGGCAGCACACTTGAACACTTGATTTTGATCATTGGCCAGAGCCATGGCAGCTGCATAGCCACCATATGACCACCCCCAAATGCCAACGTGATCCGCATCAATGTAGTCGAACATTTTGGAAAGGGATCTGAAAAGAGGTAACACATTAGTCGGTTAGTTGGAAGATAAACAAGTAATAAACGTAAACTGATAACTGACTATTTTAAATACTAGTTGTTAGGAAAATATATCTCCTAAGGATTAATATTAACTTACTGAGTAACATTGATCTGATCACTGATCTCCACGGTGCCCAACTTTAGGTAAATGGCATGGAGGAGACTCTCGCCGCGGAGTCCAGAGCCTCGACCATCGATCTTGGCATAGATCACAGACTGATTTGAGGACAAGTAAGTCCCCCAGTCAACCATCCACTTGTTGGTGACCTAAAATATAGAGAAAGATAAATATCTATCCCATTTTTTTCCCCCAATTTTCATTTAACTTACAGAGTAGGAATCTGGTCCACCGTAGACATCCACAAGCATCGGATATTTTGTTGCACCACTGGTGTCCAAATTGGGTGGCAGTTGGAGCAGGACCTTAGCCTGGAAGCCACCATCTATGTTCACCGTGAGGATCTGGTGAGAGGGCAGGGCCACGCCCTTCAGTTTGGCACGAAGACTTTCATTGGTTTCCCAGTCGAGGACGAGGGAGAGAACAACTTGAGCTAATTCATTGGTAATTAGATGAAAGGAAACAAATATAAATAAAGTAAGTAAAGGTTTTCCCATTATCCATAAACTTGCCAAACTTACAGTTTTCATATTTCCACTCGTATATGTGGGTGGTGGGAATGCCAGGTCCCTGAGAAGTGATCACAATGTGGTTATTGTCGTTAAAAGTGGCCGAGAAGTAGGTCTGCTGAACATCCCCGGACTTGATAAGGTTGCACGTTAGGCACTTGGGACTTTGTTTAGTCAGCGCCCGAATGGCATAAAGATGCAGTTGCTCGGGATGATCTTCCGTGTTGGCCGTATAGAAGATAATATCGTTTGCTCCATCCCAGTGCAGGATACTGTCCACGACGTACTTGCCCTCGGTTAGGGGTTCCAGAGCTTGTGCCTCTGCAGTGGCCACGGTGGAGCTCAAAAGCTGGACATGCTTGTAGTTGTCGTGCGGCAGGACGAAGGCCAGACGGGAACCATTACGGTTGCGGAACGGAGCGGTATAGAGGTCAACCCAACCGGTCTTCGATTCGGCGTTGTAGATCTAAAGGAAGATGATAATATTTATGTAAGTTATAAGGCGTTATAGGCGTCCTAATGCACGACGTGCATTGCACGTCCTGTTCTCTTCTGTAGTCCAAAACGAAGTGAATTAGTGACATATTGGTTGAGCGAACAGGACACACATAGTGTTCGTTAGCATGATCTTAATACAAAAGTAAGGGAGAGGAATACATTTTGTTTACATCTAACTGTGTTTACATATGTACATATTAAGTTAGTGTGACTGTGTTTTAAACATGCCAGTGTGACCGCCACAAAGTTAAAAGTTATTAAGTTAAAATTTAAATAACTTACAACTTTCCTGTTGAGTCCATCGAAGGTAACGACAGAGGCAGCATTTTGGATGCGATTCATCCAAATGGACAGTACGTTGTCATCGTCCACCCAGCTGACCACGGTAACAATGTAATCCGTTTCCGTATTAAGAGCCGCTGGCACCGGCATTACAGTCTCGAAATCTTTACCTTCCACAGCCCTCTTTAGATCCACCATTACCAGATCCACTCGCGGATTGGAGGATCCAGCCTTAGGATATGCAATCACCTGGTGAAGCGGATACTGGTAACGCAGATCACCAGCATCTCCGTAGTAGGGGAAATTGATTAGATGAGTAGACGAATCATCGAACTTTATGTAAGCTAATTGGGTGCCCGATGGGTTAAACCAGGTGGCCACATTCGAGCTAAACACCTCCTCCTCGTACACCCAATCCGGAATGCCATTAAGTACGCCAGCTTGCTCATCGCTAGTTAGTGCTATTTCCTGCTCCAAAGCACTCGCCTTATAGTACAAATTCCGATCGTAATTGATCACCAAGGCATTTCCCACTGGAGACCATTGGACCATACTCAAGAAATGCTGGACATTTTGGATGGTCAGCTGTGTGAATACTTTCGTGTTCAGATTGTACAGATCGTATTCGGCCAGGAAGCTGTACCGGAAGTTCTTCTTGTAGTTCTTTGCCAGCAAAAGGAACTCCCCATCGGCGGACTTTTCATACAACACATAGTGAGCGGCATTATCTAGCAGTGTGGTACGTGCCCCTGTCTTGGCATCGAATTCTACGATGGACTATATAAAGGGTATAAAATTTCATAAATTAAGTTTATCCGACACTTTAAAACATTATATAGTAATCAAAAGTTCTACTTACCGCACCCTCCTTGTAAATCAGACTGTTGCCATTGCTCCAGCTGCCGTTAAAACGCTTTGCATATAGTTGACCAGTCAACACATCCTCCAGATCGATGGCATTATTGGAGTCTGAGTCGCCGGAATTATCCTTTTCATCCGTTCGAAGAATAAACACCAGGGCAGTGGCCAATAAAGCTACTAATATGATCGCTGTTGTAATGCTAAGAATAATCCTGATGCGGCGCTTCTTCTCCTTGTTATGCATAAGATTCTAATTCAAGGAAAAATTATACAAAAATTAGTTAGTTAACAAAAGGTTTTTTAACGTAATTTTTAAATTTCTTGGAAATTTGTAGGGATAAAAATCTATTAATGAGCAAAGTTCATCATAAAAAACTTGGAAATAAGAAATAAAACCAAGCTTACTATCCGAATGCACTTTCAAAAAGGCAACCAGTAAGTTCATTAACCCTATTTTCCACGCAAGGAAATTGGCTTTCATTTCGAATGGTCAACGTTTCCTCAATTTCCATTCACATTTCTTTAATCAGCCACCTTCTGAGCTAACCAAAAAAGTGCAACTTGGCCAGGCCAAATTATACGGCCCAAACGAAATGCGCACATTGGCCAATTTGGGTACAATCTTTCAGCCTAATCAGTGACTCCGGACACGTATATATATATATACACTATAGATTATATGGAAAGTAACGTTGCGCATGCGCAATGACTTTTTCTTTCTCATCACCATTCACTCTACGAAAATCACTCAAAACCGCTGAAACCTAAGAAGAAAAAAAAGGCATAAGATATGGCAGAAGAGATTGGGGATAAGGTTTTATATAGGTATATATATATACATATATATATAGTATGTGAGTTATATAGGGAGAGGAACTGGCAACCAAATGAGTCCAAAAAGTGAAGAGCGAAAATGAAAGTAGTTTTTTGTTAACCAGCTCCAGACTGGGTCGCCGATAACTGGTTTATGCTCTGGTCAGTACCTACAGATATATATATATATATATATATTTACAGGTAGTATGATTACCAAAAGAGGGGAAAGTGGGGAATCCGTTGGCTCCCGGCAATTGCCGCATGACGTAAGTAAATAAAACCTCAATTTACTTTTTTTTTTTCATATCGACTTTTTTGTACTTGTCTGGCGTATTTTCACCTATTTGTTTCTTTTACATCATTTTACATTACGCGACTAAATAATTGAAGTTGTCCACACCCCAAAAAAGCAAGAAAAAAGTTTTCTTATGTTTCTCTTTTTTTTTTAGTTAGTTATTTATTCAATATGGCTTCGATGTGATAATTGAGCTGTTGAAATCTATCATTAGATGAAATGCTTTTGCATTTTTTTTGTTTCTGTTTTCCGTTTTACGGGCACTTTTTTTTTGTCGAATCATGTCAATGGATTTTTGTCAGAGCGTGACACTTTTTTGTGATTACTTAATGGGATTTATTTGTTCGAACGTCAAGGCTATGGTGTGAGATTAATTGTGGCAATGTTAGCCTGTGGTCTGCACCTAGTTAGGAATTTGTATTGATTGTTGTTCTTTTTATTTGGAATTTGGAATATTTCAATAGTAGAGTAAAGCAGGAGTGTGCACATAATCTTAAACCATTCTAGAAACTTTTAAAGGTGCAAAAAGAGATATTTCTACCTCTTTTTCTCCTCCATTGACCTGCACAATAAAAACTACATGTTAACCACAACAATATTGAAATCAATTTATTGAGTACAGCTTCTAGAATTCTAGAAAAACCAGTTATTATGAACCCAACTCGACTGCAACTCTTGCCATTAGCACGTTCTCAGACCGAGTGCTTGCATTTAATATGGCCACTTTATCGAAGCTTTACAAAAGCCAAGAAACCAAAAGTCAAACCAATATTGTACTCTTTTTTTTTTTTTACCAAAAACCAACGACACGTGTAGGGGATTCCCCCAGTGACCATGCAGCTACTCCCTAAAATCTCTGGGATAAAATATAGCCCTATGGAGGCAACACAAGGCAACGTCGAAGACATGTTAGTTACAACTTTGCAGCATTTTGTGTGTTTTCGGCTTTTTGGCATATGTACACAGAATTTATGGTTCCTATTGGATTTCATTGGCGATGGGGATCTGCTTTTGTTTAGAACAAAAGGAAACTGGAATTTTTATACAAATTTGAAGTGGTTTTTCGCTTTTTTTGCAACTTCTTTAATTAGTTTTTTATTATTTTTGTAGGCAAAACAGGTTGTTGGAGATGAGAAACAAAGATTTCTGATAATGTTTATATATTAATTAAATTAAGATGATGAGAAGTTGTGTGTTTAACATTACAGTTTACATTTTATAGAAAATAAAAGTAAAACAAAAACTTATAATAAAATATATAAAAATGTATCCAAAGATCATAAAACTCTTTAACATAATGCTTAATAAATACAAAATAAATACATTACAAACATAATAACTTAGTTAACAAAACCTGAATGATACACTAAACCTAAACTAATCCCACAAAGAGCATTTCACCTTTCACATCAACAAAGTTATATCCCGTCAGACTTCCTCTCATTCGCAGAAGTTTCATCCATTGGCCTAACGCTTGACCAGCTCCTATCATATCAACATCCATTCAGACATCCTTTTTTTTTTTTTTTTTTGGCTTGATTGTTTTGGGATTTCCCATTGAATTCGGTGCACAATATAGCGCAATTAGTCAGCTACCTGTACTCACCGTACACTCTACTGCCCAGGCTACCCAGACTCGAATCATTTAATAAATACGATACTGAAAGGTTTTTGAGAGATTAGTTCTCACTTGATCCCTTAGCGGAACAGGAATCGTTTGCTGGACATCCGGCAATTAGTTGGGAGATTTTTTACGGGCAGGAGATTTTTCAACTTTTCGTTGCACCACATGTCGTATACTTGTTCAACTTTGCTTTTTGTTTAGCCTTCTTATATGGGTCAATGTTGCTAAATAGAACATAATCGCCTGGACGTGAGTAGCTTGACAGCTATTGGAGGGCCCTTAAACAGGACAACACAAGCGACGAGAAATAAATTGATGACCTTTTGTGTCTGGCCTAAGGGCGGTGGAGTTTTTCCTGCCTTTTCTTTTGCTTGTCGTTTGGCTTTTCATTAAACTGCCCCGAAATTAATTAATTTGTTTTGTTTTGTTTCGTTCTGGGTGTGTTTTTGTCCTTGGGGGAATCCCCTTTTTGCCTGTTTTTTACCCTGCTAATTGTGCACACATTTTAACGTGTTTAACTAATGAGCTACACAAGTTAGTTACGCTGAGGGGCTAGACATAATTACCTTTGGTCTGATGGAAATTGAGTTTGAGTTAGTCAGTGATTAAGGTGTGAAAAATAAGAAGGAGAGAGTGTATTATATGTAAAAGGGAAATATTGATAATTAATGGGCAGCAGTAGGTATTCTTGTTTTATCAAAGAGAGTGCTCTGCCTTTTAAACTCCTTTTTAAACTTCTTAGTTTTCCTCTCCTTTAAGTTCACTCCGAAATCCATTATTTTAATTAACCTCTGAACATTTATCTCATGTACTCCCAACATTGTGGTAATCACTACAATCAGTTTCTGCCTTTCATTGGCCACCTGTTGATGGGGCCCCAACCACAGGGAGCTAAAAGAGACAGACTCCATTCTCTCGCACTAAACCACAAAACCCACTGCCACCCACATTTTCGATTGATATATTAGCTGGTCATCTATACATTCATCTTGTGTTTATCACAATGGCCATTGTGGTCAATCGGCGGTTCATTTTCGCACTCATGGACAAATCAATTTAATTACCAAACACCCAATGCCTCCCAGAACACAACGACAAATGTTGGCCAATCGGAGTGTTGGATGCTTTGAGCCTGCGTGTTTGGTTAGGTTCTTGTAGTGATGACAGTTTAGATTTTAAATCGTTAAATTAGATATTTCTATATTTTTCCTTAAGAACTTCATAAAATAACCTTTATTTTTGAGCTTTACTTCGATTTACCATTTCCTTGATAATCCACCTTAAAAACCTCATCATCACTGACCACCTTGCCTTACCTTAAACCGCGACATGCCCTCCCCAAAGCTGCCGGCACTGGTCCCGTCATCATCCTCCAGACTGCTACCGCCGCCCAGCATGGATTCATGAAGCTTGGCGCTCGACCGTCGCCCTACAGCGGCCTTGTAATAGTACGGCGGATGCTGGTGGCGCCCAACGCCCACGGCTATGCCCACATTGGCAGCGGTATTGCTAGCGGTGGCGGTGGCAATAACTGAATCCTCATAGCCCATCAGTTCAATGGATGGATGTTCGCATTTACAGCGATGTGGCGGCGTGCGATGTCCATGCTGGTGGTGTGGATGTGGATGTGTATGGATGTGGGAGTGTAGAGAGTGCGGATGTTGTTGCTGATACTGATGCTGCTGTTGCTGTTGCTGTTGCTGCTGCTGCCTGCTTTTGTTGCCATTGTGGTGGCTGTGACTGTTGCTGCCACTTTGATGGGGCGGCTGAGGTGGCGGCGGTATGTCTGCGGGTGTTATATAGATTTTACCACCCAGATTTTCACCGCCCGTCTGCTTGCTGGGCCAATGGAACTCATCAAATTCGCTAGAGCTGTTGGTCAGTTGATGTTGCAGCTGTTGCTGTTGCTGCTGATGCTGCTGCTGCTGCTGTTCCCATTGCAATTGTCTTTGCTGCTGTCGCAGGCAGCTTTGTTGTTGCTGCTGGTGGCGTTGCTGTTGCTGTTGCTGCTGCTGTTGCTTGTGGAAGCGATAATATTGATGATGTGCAGCTGCATTGGCAGTGGCTGGCAGATGATACTTGTTGTTGTTGTATTTTTTTTCGTTCGTTTTTCGTTTTTTTCGTTCGGCGGGGAGAAAAGGAACATACATAAAATTGGTTTGTGGAGACAGCATCCTGTTAAATCAGTTTCCCTGTGTGGGATACTCCGTGTATGGCGGTGTATGTTTCGTGTTTTCTTTTTTGTGGGTGGTTGTGTTGGAGTCAAAGCAAAAAAGGACATCCAACGGCAAACACAAATTGAGGCGGCAACAAAGGGGTAAGCATTAACTACAAGACGGAACAAGACAACAACACAAAGGATACAAAACAACGTGCCAGATTTATTTTCCAACCTCTGAACTGGTTGGGAAAATATAAAAAGGATTTTTTAAAAGGATTGCCACCATTCTTAAAGAAACTTTAAAGATTTTTTAAGATGCTGGGAAAGGATTTTAAAAGATTTTTTTCTGATTTTTTAAGCAGATAAAATAAAGATTTTCTTCATATAACATTGTGCTTATATAATGCTTAAAATTATTAAAACTATGTTTCTTAAAAACTAAAAAATAGCAAGATTATATTTTATATTAACAACTTTTTAAAAAAACATGCAAAATGTAGTATTATTTTATGATTTAAAATCAAAGTTTAAGCAACTTTTAGGCATTAAAATAAACGCTTAAGTAATTGAGAATTTCGAATAACTAAATTTAAGTAGTACAGAAAAAGTTTCACTCAACTACTTAGTTTTCCCACCAACATTTCCACCTCAACAAATTAGATAAACAAGAATTCTTGAATCCCCCAATGGGAAAACCACGAAAACTAAGTTATGAAATGAAATTTGCGCCAAAGTCGGGTTAAAGTAAATAACAAGATCAAACTTGAAACGAGCCAAAAACTATGGCAGTGCTCGGGCCAAAAAAGAAAAAACGTTGAAAAAAAAAACGAAAAACCCAAATAAAATGAAAAAAAAAAAAATTGGAAAAATGGACCGAGTGAGATTTTGCGCCAAATACATTAGCTCGATTTGGTTTGGCCAGTGCGGTGCTCACCGCAATTATTTAATTACACCCAGGCACTACGTAAGCTTACCTACCAAACTAACCCCTTATCCCCATTCCATCCACCAAAACTCCCCCTGGATTTTGGGTTTAATCAAAGAGCCAACCAAGTCAAGCACAACACAAAGAGCGGTCCGAATGGTTGAACGAAACTTTTGTTGCAACTTTTCGGTGCAGCCAAGCAAATCGAGGCGCGACCCCTTGAACCTTGCCATGCGGGAGGTGCCTGGTAAAGGGGGGAGGGGGGGCTGAATAGTGGAAAGGATTGAGGTGGCAAGGGGACAATGAAGAGGCGCCCACATGCAGGCGACGGCGACCCAACTTTACTTGCATACTCGTACAGACCCTACCCGATTCGTATCGCTAATGATGATCAAATAACGACCAAATGTCGACCGCCTTGCTCTCAAATACACAGACACTGTGAAAAAAATGTAGAAAAAATCTAAGAAAAATAAATTTTTGATTGCAGATTTCAAAATAAGTAGAAAACTTGGAGGAAAACTTGCTAGAGGAATATTTTTTAATCAAAAATAAAATGAATACAATTTTTCTCTCAGTGTAGATTCTCATAGACACAGACAAAGCGGACACAAAATCGTTAGCCCACTTGGCAGGGCACCAGCAAAATTTTTGCACTCTCGCCCTTTAACTGTGTCACGGCTTCTTTCTCCATATCTCCAGTCGCCCAGCCTCCGACTGCCGACCTCTTCGACCACCATCACTGCGGCCCACAATCTTCCGATGTCGTCTGGCGTAATGAGCAGTCTTTCGGTTCTTTTACCGTGGAAAAGTAAAGGGAAAGGGGTTGGATGTACACAAATGATATGTAAATACCAAACAATTTGCCATGAGCTAGCTGGCTGGCTGGCTGGCTGGGCTTTCTGCTTTGAGGTCCTATTTGATTAGTGCTTGATCAGTGCGCCAAAAAGTAGGCAACGTTCGCTTGATTTTTGGCAGACCATCTGAAGGATACTGGAAACATGGTAACGAATCATGTTAATTGAGACTGGCAGAGCCAAAATGTTGTTTCATAACTGAAATGTAATCGAGTTGCAGACAAAAGGGTTAAAGGTTCGTGCGGGGTTTTTGTCCATTTTGCTTGTTTCTTTAAAGAAACATTAAGTTTTCCATTCAAGCTTTTTAAGACGCTTTTAAGCAACTTTAAAAGAGAATTTAAAATTTCTTTATTTCTTTATTTATTTATTTATTTATCTAAGGCTATCAATAAGTTAAAACTAAGAGCTAACAAATGCTAACAAATTTTGTCTATAACAAAGCCAATAATGGTCGGTAAATGGAATGTTATATCTCGTTGAGCTTGTTTTTCAATCTATTTTCAAAATATTGAAGTGCCATTCAAATCTGAAGAAAAAAATATTTTTTCAATTTTTCATAAAAATGATGATGGTACCCCTTAAAAAAAATGTAAAATTTGAGAAAAAAAAAACGTTTGAAAATCATCACGATATTGATACTGGAAGTTTGTTTGGGTCATTAGCTGCACAAAACTGTCTTTCTTTTGGTTCTGCGTCTTCCTTTGACAAAGTTATAAGCATAAGACTAGGGAAAAATATCTCAAATTTTACTCAAAAGCCAAAATTTTGATTTTCAGCTCAAAATATCAGTATTTCCCTCATTAAAGAGCCAAAAATTATTGTAACATGGAAAGTTATACCTCGTTGAGTTCGTATTTAAATTCCCCGTCGAACTGTGTACCACACTCAAAAAGTGATTTTTTTTGAGATTTTTCGTAAATTTTTATGATGTTCACAAAATGCGAAAACCGGTCTGGCCCGATTTGAGGATCGAAATATCAGTATTTTGTCTATAACAAAGCCAAAAATGGTCGGAAAATGGAATTTTATATCTCGTTTATCTTGTTTTTCAATCTATTTTCAAAATATTAATTATTATCTATTAATATTTAAATAAAATTAAGATAGTACATTTTATCTACGAATTTAAATTTTTGCCTTATCAACTTGCATATTTTATTTCGTTTAATTCAAGCCACCTAATTTCGGCTCAATAATTGTTCCATAAACCTTGTTTAATCTTCTCCTTGTGCGACATCTCATGGGAAATATATTACTCCTTTTAGCTGGTCCCAGAAAAACATTTTCATTTCAACGAGAACACAAAAATTAGAATGCGTAACCATAATAAATTATATTTTTTGACACACAAACCCACAGAGCAATGGGTGTGTGCGTGCGTGTCCGTGTGTTGCAAACACCTAAATGTAGGCAATAAAATTTCTACAAAATAACCAAATGCATAAATATGTTTTAAGTGCTACGTGAATAACGCCCAGAATTCCCTTAAATATGCCCATAATTTATGCAAAAAAAAAAAGAGAAGAGAGAGAGAGATAGAAAAATGAATATTCAAACAGAAAGGGAATGTGGTATCACCTAACCACTCAGCCCTACTTGTAAGGGCAACCATGAAATATGCAGCACAAACAATGGCTTTCGGTAAATATCCGGATCAAAATGCAACCAAAAAATTGGTTTGCAAAAATCATAGCAAATATATATCATGCCAGCAATCAAACAGTGAATATGTAAATAAAAGTTGATACTTAAATTGCGTGGGATCAAAGGGTTTTCATCACAATACAGTATTCATATGGTTGTGTGAAAGCTTTAAATGCATGCAATATTTTTCACTATAAATAATGTGTAAATTGTAGGGATTTATTTGTTTGGAGGTACTCGGAAACTTTTATTTGTCATTTAAATGGAATATATATTAAATAATATATTTAAGACCTTTACATACCTGATCGCTTTGTGCTGTTTCAGTCACCGAAACATCATTACCCGACATTTTATCGGATTTTAATTACTCAGCTTTCTGCTTCTAACTTTGCATTAAGTTCAACTTTGTAGCTGCATTAAAAATAAAGAAATAAAATAGATTTTTATTTATTTCCATGGAAATAATTTTGATTTGGTATTTCATTCAGTTTCCAGTTCGACAATTCTCGTTTTTTTTGCATTCCGCGAACATTTCTTCGGCACGTTTTTTTTTCGGATTTATTCTGACATTTTAGCAATGATTTATTGCATACATTTTATTTTGCACTTCACAGACTTTTCAAAAATGTTCACATCTGTTTTTAAATCGTTTTTATTTCGTCGTTGATTTTTCTTGGCATTCTAATTGTTTGACTGAATTTATTACTATACATTGTTTTTTATAAATATTTTTCGGTTTTTTTTAACATTTTCTGGCAAAATATTGTTTTAAAATCTCTTGCAAAAGTTATTTTTAATTAAGTTTTACAAGTGCTCTGGGTTATATAATAGCCGCAGGGTCTGCTTTCCCTGTATATATATTTAATATGTTTTTCATTCTTTTGATGCCACACGCTCAGCAACATAGGAGGCGAGTAATTTATCCCAAGAAAATAACGGCTGCCTGTCACTTAATGCAAATTAAACAATTTAAATGAGCAAACAAACAACCGAAAACCAAAAGAAAATCCCAAATTGAGGAAGCAAGACGAAGAGGGACCAAGAAGTTTTTGTGGCAGACACACAGGAGGCAGGCACTGCGCATTGCACATAACTCGTAACTCATACGCCCTGTTGTACAATGAAAATGGCCGCGTTTATAAACGTTTGTTTGCTTGCTTGTTTTTGCTTGTTTGTTTGTTTGTCGGTTGGTTGTGTTTGCCCGCCTGGCTGCGGTTTTTCAATTGTCAGTGCCAAAGCGAACGAAGCGAACCCAAGAGCCCAAAATGGAGGAAAACATAGCAGAAAGAAAAGAACGAAAAAAAAAAAAACGCAAAAATAAATAAGAAATACCAAATAAATTGAATTGCGTAGCCGACTATAAAGAGACAGCGAACGTAGGTGAGTGGAGCAAAGCCAACTGGAAGCGGAGATAAAAGCACAGCAACCCCAAGGGGAATGGTAACGGGAAAAAAAATGTCAACAAAATAAGAGCGGAGGACACAACACAAATGTGATAAATGTGCTGCGACCTTTGTGTGGTAATGTGCATAAAATATATATTTCTAAATTGTCAAACGGAAGATAGCGTCCAAGAAAAACTTTGAAGTTGTCGAAAGAGGTCAGAGTACAAGCTGTGATTGTATTTCGATTATCTAGATTCCATTTAGACCAGATGCTAAAAGCTTGTCTAGGAAGCTGTCTTCAAGTGCTGGAAAAATTAAGTCCCAGACTGCAGAAGAGGTAGTCATGATGACAATTGCATTAAGTATAAATCTGTTTTAAAAGATATTACTGATGAAGGTTAACTAGAAAATAAGGAAATAATTTAATAAATTTTTGGAATTTCTGCATCTAACGTTTTTTATTAAATGCAGAATGGGAAATAGTTAAAAACTTCTGTTGACTTTTTTGATGCCCAATAATTTGCAGAATTCCTCTAGAATTTTAAATTTTAATTTTGTTCTGTTTATATAAATTCAACCTTACATTTTTAGTAGAACAAGTACTATTAATGACCACTGTACAACTTTTAAAATAATGTATATGCATAAGACCCACTGTAAGATAAAAAAGGAAACAACATAGCTGTAAATATCATACTGTTATACTGTTATCTCTTTCTATCATGTAAGTTAACTTGAAGAGATCGTTTTGAATGTACATTCGTCTCGCTCACGAGCAAGCGAGCAGAGGGATAAAAAAGAATTGTAAAGGAACTTATTTTTTGACTTTCGAGAAAAGCAGTTGTGAGAATACAGTGAAAATATGTACATAAAAGCCAAAAGCTAGAAGTGTGTTTTCACGTTATCACAAATAGCCTTTAAAATAATCTTGATAAATATCTTCATACCGACTCTCTTCTTGACAAAATTGTTTTGGCTTAAACCAAATAAATAACCCACTTTAAGCCTTAACGACTGTCTATCCATTAAGTGACTTTGCTGACCAAGGCAAACAAATATTGGCCAAAAGAGGACAATTTAAGTTTCTAAACTTGAGGTTGATGATGATGTCCCTTAGTTGGCGGTCACATCTGTTGGTTTTAGCCTAAATGCATTAAATATTAATGAGTTTAAGAGCGGCAAGTAATTTGTTGTCCCCCCCGAATAAGGGATAAGCCATGCTCAACTGATAAATCGTCTGGTTATTGATTTAGGATCCACGATTACACTTTCCAACTCTAGAACTTGTCTGCTAATCCAACAGATGCAATGTGCTCGAAGGACTATTTGATTTTTCATTTGTGCATTTGTCAAGTGGCGAGAACAAGAAATTGCGAGTGGCAACCGACAGGCAGCGGATGGCCAAACAAACAACGAACTGGGGTTGGGAAAACTGAGTGGGGAATAGGGAAAAAGCCAACAGAAGTTTCATCAATTTTACACAATCCACTTAACTTGAAAAGCCAGAGGGCAGTCACTCACAGAAACACCGAGAAAGATAGAACTTCATGGTGGAGCATTCTCTATATTTTCCAATTCATTTGAATTTATGTTGAAGGAAAAAGTCTTGCAACACTGGAAACTAATTACAGGTGGATAGAAGTCAAGGAAATTTTATATTTGTGGGACTAAAAAGGTTTATCTTTTAATTGTTACATATTTTTAAAGGTTTTTTTAAGGCTTTATTTTGTAAAAGTTATCATATCTGAAAGTGAAACCATTTAAGACTCTTAACATAAATGGGAAAGCTTTTCACTTCTATTTTCTTTATATCTAGTATCCTTTGAAATCTAAGTCAACACGGCTGTAGCAAAAATTCTCAAAAACAAAATCAAATCCTTTCGATTTATTTGGGAAAATTCGACTTGGCTTAGTTATTTATTTTACTAAATTTAAATTAACTTCAAAATGTCTTCTTCCGAAGCAGAATCATTTGTTGAGGAGCCGACACCAAGTTCCGCAGTCGTACCATTGAGTCCCAATCAAAATCTTCCAACCGGTTCATCAAATCCCGTCTCACCATCGGTCTCGATTACCACTGTAAATGGCAGCCTAGCATCAGAATCTGGAGATTCTGGTGCTGAATGGCTAGAGTCTTCTGGAGATGTTACATTTCCACCGGAAAATTCATTTTATGGCCTACGACCGGTGCGAGCTTCAACCGATTTGAGATCACCAGTTTCGCATACATCAACATCATCATCATCCACAACGCAAATAACCGAAACTTCTTCGAATGCCAATCAACCTTGTGAGGATGTTGGTGACCAAGTTACTGACCCCTTAGCATCCGTCGAAAGCATGGATATTGGGGACGCTTTGGCCAATAGCGATTCCATAGAAATGACTCTTCGGTTCTCTGAACTTATATTTGATATTGATACACCCAATGTGGCAACTAGAAGACGTCATCGACGCCTTCACGCTCAAGCCTTGGATCGGGCTCAAAGGATGCAAGACGGATCCTTAAGCGACTCTGAGACTAGATCTAGATGGCGAGTGCCATCCAGAGGTTTTGCCCAAGTACTGCGGCATGGGAACAGTGTTAGCGATTGCAGCCAGTGCAGCAGTGATGAGGATGAGGAGAAGAATCCAAAAGTTCCAGATTATCTGGCCGAATGGCTGTATCCGATATAGTTTTATTTAAAAGTTTTTAAAAGTTTGATTAAAAAAATGTTGTTTTTAGATTTCAAAACAGTTTGTTTTTTGTAACTGAATTGGAAAGTCCTTTTGAAGGAATGTTTTTAAGAATAAAAATCCTAATAAAAACCCCACAAAATATTCAAAATACTACTTAAGATTTAAGATAACCCCTAACATTAAAAACAAATTGACCTGTACTTGACTTGATTTTCTAAACTTGTGCAAAGTTTAGCCAGCAAACTGCATTTTAAGACTCCTGAAATGGATAACAACTCGAATGGAGCTTGCTGCCAAGCTGTTGCAAGCAACGGCTTCTACTGCTACTTGTTGAAAGTCTTTAAGGCGAGCAAAAGGTTTCCATTGTTTTTCCTGGTTTTTCCATGCAGCAGCCGCTGCCACTTCATATGGTGGAAAGTGTTTATATGCAGCTATGGGGGGGTGGGAAGTTGGAAATAATAATGAATTTGCGGTATGCCACACAAACACTTGCTGCGGCCGCAACATGCGCCAGATTTTAGCTCCGGATATCAGTAGTAGCTGCACATGCATCAGTTCCCGGGAGCCGGAGTCCAATCGGACACTGAGAAAGATTATTGTAAACTTATTTCATGTTTTTTAAAGGAAATAATTTTATAATAAGGAAAATTCGTAATGTTAAGGTAAAAATATGTCAAAAGAAAAGTATAACTTTCATTTTTTACAACAATGACTTACAGTTTTTGGCAGTGCTAACTCAATGGCATTACCACCACCGCCCACTGGCTCTTTCTTTAACCCACTGTGCGGCATGTGTGGCAGCTAATATGTTGGCTTGGCAGTGTCGCCTCTTGGAGCCCGTTGAAAAATGCACTGACATGTGCCACAGCTGCTGCTAACCCCCAAAGTCCCCTCATCCCTTCTCATTCCTCTATGGGCTGTAGTCTTCGCATTTTACTATTTTCTCATTTTCCACCCATCACCACCCACCATTGAAACAAATGCACAGGGCGTGGGAGTGGGCGGTTGCGTGCGCTCTTCAACGGGGGGCGTGTTGATGCGCTGAACAATAGCTATAAAAAGGATTAACTTGCATAACAAAGGAGATTCCAAAGGGGAAGGGCGGGTGCGGGGAGGGGTTGAAGATTTGGACCCGGCAGGGCCTGGCATATAAATTTCAACAACGCAGCACAAAACCGAAGACTCGGCATCGGTCGAGTTCCAAATTTATAGCCCACACTCCTTGCCCATTTACCATTTCAACCGTGAGCATATGGTTTCGAATAGCCATTGTTTTATCTGCAGTTTGCCTCTTAGTTTGGCAATTTAAGCTTGTGGTATAAATAGAAATTAGTTAATTTTACTATCGTTTATTGGTGCTTGTAATTATGTTTAGTGCGGTGCTTTAGTTCTTGTGATTAACTAAAGTTTAAAGGGCTTCAAGTCAGATCTTTATGTTAAAAAAGAGTTTTGCTTCTTATAAAATGAGACATAGATGGAGTGTTTTCTACTTAACTTTTCACCAATTTAATTAAAATATTAAAATGTATTAAAAAGCATTAAAATACATTATAAATGTATTAAAATCTCTTACTTCTATTATATTTTTTCTTCATTGGTCCTTTCCATTTAAAAAAAAAAAATAAAAGAGCTCTAAAATTCTGATTTATTTTCACTTGTCTTACCATCAAATAAATTTACTATTATCGGTTCTTTAAACGTTACGTGTCGCTCCTTAAAGTGTGACCCCATCTAACCCCGCTTTAACCCCATGGCACCGCCTCAGACCCCACCCTTTGTCCATTCTAGTGGCGCCTGAAAGAGGAAGACAGCATTTCAGTCAACTGCAACTGCTGCAATTTCTCATTTTAATAAAAATGCAAATGTCTCCGGCTGAAGAAAGTCAAGCTAGCATCAAGCTGTCTCTTTCTATTATCGCTATATCCCTCTTCGCTTCTCTCTCCCTTCTTTTTTCCATCAGCATCCTTTGCTCCATATTAAACGCCAGCAAACTTTTCGATTTTACGGTATTACGAAAACAAAATACAAAAAGGAGACAAAAAAAAACCAACCACTGATGCAGTGGGAACGAAAAAAAAAAGAAGACGGCAAGACAAATAAGTTTTCAATAAGGTCCTTAAGAATGTTTAAAGGAATGAAAATAGAGGATTGCATTCAGCCGAAGGTTGAGTAAAACAAAGTGTCAGTTTACAGCTGTCAGACCCCGGGGGACATGTAAGCCGCCTCTTTTACTCGCACTATTCGTGTCTCTCGCTCTCCCATTCCCGGTACTGTTGCTGATTCGCATTTAAAGTTGCGGCCGCCAGATGGGGCTGCATCATTTGCGCTCTGTAGTGGTGACAATTGGAAATGCTTTTTTTTAATATTTGTAGAGTTTTTTTTTAGTTTTAAAAAAGTATATATAGCTATTCATCAACTTTAGAATGTCAAATCAATGGAAATGGCTGCCTCTCTTTTTTCCAATTAAGAGTTTAAAAACAATGACAACTTTTTTGTTTAACTTGTTGCACATTTTTTTAGTATTAAACATATATAAATTGAGTTGGCTATATAACCAATTCAGATTTTAAACATTTTAAATTAGCAAATTAGCGAAAAGCCATTTAAACAATTGTTTTGCCACTTGTTTGCATATTTTCGGCGGAATAAAAGTGTTTTAGCCAATGAATTTATTGCTAATTGTCTCTCTAATTTGTAGATACAAAAAGCTGTTTAATTTTCCTAAAATAAAATCACAAATGTTGCAGCATTAAATAGAATTTTAAGAAGAAATAAATAATATTAAATATAAAATTGTTTTATAGGCTATCTAATATTATATTAAGACTTAATTTTCATTTTAAAAATACTTTTCCATCATCACTGTTAAAATTTATTTCCGTTTTCCCACAATCACAAACACACACACACACACATCAGGCATTGAGCTTTGCCGGCCGGGCTTAATTAATCTAATTGAAATAATGCCAGCGACAGGCGGAGAGTCCCACATATGGCCAGCTTACCGGCACTAACAATGGCTTAGGACAATGCCAGCTTGGCTCCCTATAAAGTAGAACCCAGATGGCAGGCGGGATGGGGGACCCTGAGCACAAAAGGTTCTTTGTTTTCAGCTAGGTGGGTGCGAGCCTTGAAGTGTGCATTGCTTTAGATAGCCCCGGCTGGAATCTACTTAATTGGGAATCTCGTTAACGGCGGCACTTTAAGTGCTTGAGGTTAAGGTCAATATAAGACTAGATTATAGGATTTAATTAAAAATATTTATTAATATTGAGTTAGCTAAGAGCAGATAAGAGCCTAAATTTTTGTAACACACTTTAATTTTGATAATCATGTTAACATTATGAAAGCCAAAATACATTTCCGTGATCGCTAAATTTTCGACACAGAAGCTTTAGTTCCTTCCGTCGCCTTGCCAGCCTTGGATTCGTCCATTTTTCCAACATGTTTCTCTACCATCGAGATGACCCTATCGACATTGCTGCCCACAAACTGGGTAAGGGTCACCCGATTCTTGATAATAATAAAAGTAGGCATACTGCTGATCTCATACTGAACGGCTAGATCTTCATTTTGATCCACATCAATTTTTAGGATTAACATCCTTGAAGAGTATTCGGTTGCCAATTGCTCTAAACGTGGACCGATCATAGCACAGGGACCACACCAAGTAGCATAGAATTCGACGAGGACATAAGTGTTGGAACCTGCATCGTCGAGAAGCTGATCGTAGGCATTCTTTGACTCCACAACAATGACTTTTCTGTTCCCGGCAGCCATCGTTCTTTGACCTACGAATTAGCAACTTATTTTCAAATTTATTATAGAATTTTTACAAACAAAAAATTTAGAGTTTTTCTTGAGTTTTCCTGTTTTCAATTTGAAGAGTATGTGACAATAGGTTCTTAGCTAGTTGCGAATCATAGCGAATGCTTTTTATTTGTCTGCTAATGGAGGAGGTGTCTTCCAGTCTTGTACTTTTGCACCTTTTTATTTAGTTGCCTTTTTTGTTAGGACTTTTGTTCTTAGCCAAGACTTTGGTTGCACTTTTATAAAGATCTCTAGTTTTCTGAGCCTTGAGAGTGAAATTCTTTGAGAAAAAATAATTTAAATATTTTTCAAAGTATTTTAAAAACAATCTTAAGATTATATATATACTTTTTTATTATTTGATTTCCTTTCTCAGAATATAAAAAAAACCCTTTGTAAAAGTGCATTACCTTTCCACTTTCATGTAAGCCTTAAACTGACTTAAAAAGGGAAAATCTTTCATTGTGCTTTTCCATTTCCGTGGCATTTTTCATAGTGTTGGCAGGTTGTTTGTGTTGTCTTGCATTTGTCACAAATTAAGACAAATGCACCGCAGTATCTTGAGTGTGTTTAAGTCGCCACCGCCTTTTCCTTTCAACTTTTGTTGCAATATGTTTGCTTGCCACAATGGGGGCGTTATCTTTTGAGTGTGTTTACCTAAGCCTTTCTCTTACTGTCTTGTTTTTTTTTTCTCTCTTCTTGGCTGTCGTTTTCTTGCCACTTTCTGTACTGTGTGGGATTTTGTTCACGTGGCTGTTTTTGCGGTCTAAGCCCGCTTCAAGTTTATCTTTCAGTTGATTCTAAAACTCTGCTGGCTTGGGCTGGGCTCTTTAAGCTCTTGGCACTTGACATTGAGATAGTCGTTGATAATCCGGTGGCTGTTTCTGTTTTTACTGAGAACAAATTTTCTTAAATTTCATTGATTGTTTTAGATTTTTTTTTTTTTTATTTTTTTAGAATTACAAATTGTTTCCTTGAAGGCTTAAAATCAGCAGAAATATTTTCTATAATATTAAATTTTTTTTAGATTTATTTTTTCCAGTGCCGCAGCCTCTGCCGTCACTTTATCAGCGACTTGCATAACCTAATGAGCAGCGCTTAGCGTTGAAACGAAATGGTATGGAACGGAAATGGCTGTCGCGTGCATGGCAACGGTGTTGGTGCAACATGTTGTGCAATCAGTTAAACATCCGGTTGGATAGTTGCAAGGATTTTCAGTGCCGCCAGTGAAAGTGCTGACCTCGTAAAGTCGCCAAAAAGCAGAGTGAATGCGAAAAAGGTAATAAAATGAGACATGGGGCATGGATATAGCATAGCATAGGCAACACACAGAGAACATATTTCGTGTTTTTGATGGAGTACCAGGCGAGTGGAATAAGTCACGTAGCTGGCAAGACAAATTGCTTCAAGTGCACTGAACACTTTCGTGGACTTTCAGTTTCCTCAGGCTAGTCGGTTATGCGGTTAGACAGTTATTTTTATTGCGCATACGCCATGTGGCTGGCATGCGAAATAAATATATATATACGCGTTTTGCGGTCAACTAGAAAATGGGGTCAAAATATAGGGGGCCAGGATTATTGTCACTCTTGTCTGTTACAAATCAAATTTCTGAATCAAAAAAGATTCCCGGAATTCGTGTTGGATTTTCTTTTTCGGTTTTAGTGCGAACTACATGCACGTTGATGGTTATAGTTGGCCTTATATATATGAGTACTAGCCTTAGCTCAAGGCAATAAAATCGCCAGGAATTCTGAGAAATTTGTCAGTCATAGTGTGAAGTTTTGAGATAAAGCCAGAAATTCCAAACATTTGCTGCTATCCCCCCCTCATAAGTATGCTATTTTCAGGATTTCTGCAGTTTAGCTTTGACTTTCTGCTGTTGTTGTCTGGCCAAGCAGGTCAGCAGATGGTTTTGTGCGTTCCGGGGCCACATAATTGGCTTTTGTTTTTCGAAACAACACACACTGAATTGGTGTGTTACGGAGCACGTTTAAGCATGTCAATGCCAGATGCTGGCTGACAAAATGATGAACAATCTCCCCGTCCGTACACAAAACACCAAAAGCAGAAGACATGCCAAAATACCAACATCGACACCAAAACGGCAATTTCAGTTAACAAGTTTATGAGCTACGTCGAATGACAATGAAAGTCTCGTGCTTTTGGATTTTAGAGTGCGTCGTTGTTTGTGCCAAAGGCCTCAACTTCCTTCCTGCCACCCTTCATTTCCGTTTCTTGCCTAACCACACTGAGCGATAAATCTTAAGTTTGGCAATAAATTCTTAGTAAAACTTCTATTTGAGATGAAAAGGAGGTTTCTAAGCTTTTATTTTTAAGTTTTTTTTGTTCATTATATCATCTAATTAAGCAAAGAATTTTGTTTCTCTGCAGCATTGTACATTCATTTGCCAGCCAGGACGAACACAATATGGTTCCATTTCCTTATGCCACCAACGCCTTTTGTCAACGAAAATCTCTCGAAAACACAAGCAAATTTTATTTGCTGCCAAAAATTTTGATGCTCAAACCGAAGCTGGAGATTTTCCACCATTTCCCAGGCGCCCAGCTCCGGCTTTTCTCGTTGTTCTGGGACTCCTGAGTTTAGGGCTCACCCTTAACCACATGACAGTTGGCATTTGGCGGTGCTGAGCCTTGTAATGAGCTTGGGCGTGGGTGTATATGTGAGGAAGGAAGTTTTCTTCTGGTTCTGGTGGTCGGAGAATAAACAGGAGTAACAGGAGGCGTTGGCGCATAAACAGGACTACAAGCACGCCTCTTAGCTTGCAGAGCATTCACAGTTTTTACAAGCTGCTAATGTGGGCCCGACTTTTGTTGGTTTTTCCATGTGCCCTCGTAGCGTCGTGTGAATGGGATTCGCATTCGCCTGCTGAATTTGGCAGCCAGAAGTCCTTTTATGTTCGGGCTTTGGCGAGAATCGACAAATTGGATAGCTGCAACTCATTGGAATTGCTTCATTCAGGCCCAGGCCGTGCCGTGGTACTTATCGACGGCCCATGGAAATTGGGCTGCCTGTACTTAGTGGCGTGACAGTAGGCCTACTTTATTGTTTTCTCCAGCCTAGCCGCAGGATTTTCGGTAAGCTTTTGTTTTAGCATAATGACTAGAAAGTATTCTTAAGGAGTAACTGAGAACTTTTTATAGTATATGATATTTTTAAGAATTATAGGTGAAAAAAAAGGCCTTCATTTTGACCTTCTTTATCTTCTTAACCGCAAATAATCAATTTGACTTTCAATTGCTAGCCATGCTCCTTGGTAATCGATTTCTGACGTGACTGTACTTGACTCAGATCGCAGCTCAATCGTGCCAAGACATCAACCCCCATAATTAATCACTTTAAAATGCAAATATTTTGCCAATACTTAGCAGACAGCTTGCAAAATGCCTCAATAAACTAAATGCCACAACCAGCAAAAACTTCCTTGCTACTCCCTAAGCAGGATTCCTCTGATGCCCTTCACCACTTTTCATGCGCCATAACCCTCCGGACTTGGGCCAAAAGTTTCAATCAATCAAATGCCATGATAGAAATCATCAGCAGCAGGCAGCAGGAAGTAAAAAGGATAAAGGCTGTTGAGTAACTCCCAACAGAGCTCACGACGAGTGGCATAAAAACCACATGTGCCTTAACATTTTACGCTCCAGATGGCGGAAGAAGAAGTAGCTCTTTTCCCGAATGGGTTGCCCTTGTCGTGGTCCTACTTCTACTCTTGCTTCTGGTCCTGTTCCTACTTCGTATCCTGGTTATTTTGCTCACTGCCTAACAAGCTGCGTCAACAAACTAAACCACTTTGAAATTAACACGTTACATTGACATTGACAGCTTTATGCGTGGCATGCCAAATGTCGCTGGAACTAGAAAGTGGAACAGGAGCACGCAGGAGAAACAGGATTACACTCAGAAAAATTTTAACTTAAAATATTTATATTTTTCAATATTTTTATTTAAGAAAGATAATTTGAAAGTGTAGTTGTAGTTAGCCAACTATGGTCACCTTAACTATCGATATAATTCCGATAACCGACGAACCTAGGTTAAGCTAAGGTAAGATCAATTTTCGATTGGTTTTTGGTTGAGAAGTAAAAAGAGACGAATTGGGTACGCCTACAGGTTATGGGGGAAAGATCTGCCAAATATTTATGAAGAAACATGTTTTAGAGGTAAAATTAGCTAGATTTTTTCTTTCAGTGCATTGCCATGATGAGGCATTGCCAAGCTGTCACTAACTGAAGTATCGCTGAATGCTCGGTGGGTTAAAATCCGGGAAAGGGGCTCGCACAAAAGCGGAAGTCGCGCAAAAAAGGCAATTTCCGTTGTGTGGCGTGGGGCAGGCATCACTGGCAGTTATGCCCAGTTTGGGGGTACAAATCGCGGTGGCATCTCTCGGTTGAGGCCAGGAATTACCAATTCAAATGTCAGACTATGGAAAAACACTTCATGCGGAATTAAATTCAGTGTCAATTGGTCTCCCGCCTAACGAGAAATGTACGAGAAATGCTTCTTGAATCCGAATGTATGAATCCGTTTGCCAGCAGCAGCAGCAACCTTAACCCATTAGTTATCTGGCAAGGTTAAGGCTTCTTAAGATCCTTGAGAACCCTTTAAGTCAGCCGCCGCCAAGCAGTTGTTACCCTCCATTTTCGGGGATTTTCTGGGCTTTTTTTCTTCTTTGTTTTTCCGTAAGCAACCCTAACAATTTTTCAACTTCCACCATTCTTTTCACTTTACTTTTACACTTTTTTTTTTTTTAATTTTGGTGCGTGTTTGAACTGACCCAACAGAATTTATGTTTGACCGGGTTAACCCCCATCTATCCCCCCGAAAAAAGGGGGTAAAAGCAAAAATTAGTCAGAGGTTTTAGGAGGGTGGCCCCGGGGGGCATTGAAAAGTGCAAGTACTGCAAAAGCAAACTGTGCGGAAATATTTAAGGACTGTAGAGCTCTCGGGTTCGTTTGTTCACGGGTTTTCCACAGCTGTTTGCGATAATTGGAGGTTCTCTCTCTTGTGAAAAACTCTGGAAAACGCAATCTACACCGTACATGTGTAGATATGGCTTAGATTATTTCTAGTTTTGTTACTGATTAGAAACTGTTGTAGAAGTCAAATCGCACCTACAATCTTTATAGTTGATATATGGAAGCGATATGACGCGACAGTTTTAATTATCAGTTGTAAAAGCGATATTGGGAGTTTATAAGTGGCAGTCAAAGTCTTGGGTTATGGTATGGCTAGTAAATAGTCAATAGTATACGTTTTAGTGAGTGTTATTTTAGGTTTTTGAGAAGTACATCAGGTCTACTAAGGCTGCTAAATATTGATTAAAGTTATAGAGGTTTTTAGGGATTTTTGGCTAAATTTGTGTACAATAAAAAATGAATATTTTAAAGGAAAAGCACTGCCTTCAAGATAGCTACCTTTTAAGGAAACATTTTCGTATAATTTAGCAAATAAAAGCCTAACTTTTTTCTTCTAAACTAAGCAGAAACCCTGAACTAATGCCAAAGCTACAGCCAAACATTTCCGATATTTTATGCAGTCATGCCAGCGGGTTCTTTCTCTACAACTTTTCATGGGGGGTTTTTTATGCTTTGTGTCCCAAATAGTAAAAGTGAATTATATTACACGAAATTCTTTCGTTTGGGGTTATTTGAGGATTTGATTGCCTTTTGATTTTCGTTGTAGTCGCTTTTGCAATTTCCCACCCTACCCCCTCCTGGCAGACAGAAATAACAATAGATTTGTTGCCTCAGCAATTTGTTTATATGCAATAAATTTTTTTTTTTTTTTTGCAAATCAACGATAATGCAATTTATTTGCGTACATCTTATTTTCCCTTGACTTCTTTGGATATTTCCTCTTTTTATATTTGCATATTTTGGTTTATTCTTGTTTTTGCTATCCAATTTAATGTGAAAAAATGCTCACTTTATTGGAGGTCAATGTGTTTGCGTTTTTTTGTGTCGAAGATTTACGAGTCTCAATGTCCAATTTTTTTCGTAATAATATTTCAAGTGTTTGACTTTTGGCTCGATTTTTTATATATTTTTTTGCCACTGTCGCCGGTTGTCAGTTTCAGGAAGAACAAATATTTGCGGGCTTACTTTTGTATTTTAATTATGTCGTAAATTAGTCGAGTGGCAGGGAGTGTAAATAAATAATGTGGGAATTATTAATGTAATATTAATAGTCAAGGAAACGGAATAAATTAAATATTATGACAAATGTAGAAGTCATACTTGTAGTAGACTGACTACATGGTCACCTTAAATATCGATATAGCTCCGATAGCCGATGAACCGACGTTAAGCTAAGATAAGAGGTTGAACTTTAAAAGAAGCTATATTTCAAGCTATAAGCTAGCTATAAGCTGTAAATTTTATATGCTTTTCCATTTCAAATATGCTAGAACTAGCTTATATAAGCTAAACTGGCAACACTGGATAAGAAATACAGATTTGTAAATAAATAATACTTAACTCAGGTTTATAATAAGAAAAGGAAGCGGAAAGAATCTTCTATAATGAAAATAGCCAATAAATAAATTAAAAATTTGGCAACAGTTCCCTTAATATTACAGCCTTATTACAGTCTTCTTTATGGGCCCACTTTTTAGGCCTTTAACATTCCGTTTTATTGTGCTCATTCGCCTGGAATGCTGCATTGCTAGTGTTTATCGGTTTTCATTACGGATTCTTTGAATGGCTGCCGCTCGCATTAATTTTCGCACACATTTTCCTGGCAATGAATGCGCTTTCAAATCATTTATCTACTACTTTCCACAGCCCTCTTCTCATTGCCCCCATCTCATCTAGGAGGCTTTCTGGTCTAAATGCATTCCTATACATTCCTCCCCCAACGAACGATTTCACCCCCCTCCCTGCAATGCGACGAATAATTTTTATTAAAATGTCAACAGCCTGGCAATGAGCATTTGCAATTGGTTCTGCCACTCCCTTTTTTCTTTTCTCTCTGCGTCCGCCCAGCTTTCTGTTTGTCTGCCAAGAGTTTAAAATGTTTGCCAGAACAGTCAGTGCTCTGTGTGTGTGAAAAGAGATAGAAAGTTGGTTAAAAGAGAAGGAGACCAAACATGTCAAGGCGCTGGAAATTGCAGCCGACTTTTGGGCGCTGAAACACGTTTCATATGAAATACCATACCAACCATAGACCAGATCCAAATGAGGCTAATACAAAAACGTGCAGCAATTACAACCACAATCTATGGAAATTGTCGGCCCACAGTAAATGGAATCATAACCGTACCGAATTGCAGAACTTAAAGTCAACTTTGGCGTAAGTAAGAAATCTTTTCAAGCGGCATTGAGAACAAAAAAGTTTCTAGAAGTTGGAAAATTGTAAAATTGAAATAGGGAATGCCCTATACTTAACAAGAATAAGATTATGTTTGGAAAAGACTAATAAATATTTATATTTTATTGTAAGTTTTCCTTTTACCACAAAGTAAGAAATTAAATCTTTAAGGAAGATTTCAAAAATAATATTTTCCTCACTTAATTTGATCAATATTCTCCGAAAATATATATAACAAAAATGTTTATAAATTGAAAAACGAAAAATAAATAAACTTAAGAAATTAAAAGTCAAATTTAATCTCTAACAATCTACGACTTTCCCAAGACAACCTACTTCCGCGTCGTAAACCTTTACAACAAACAGTAAGACCCTCTCTTGCAGGGTATTAAAACTGCATTCCATTTACAGCTTTGGGGATTTGTAGGGCGCAGGCAAGCAGAAACGAGCTGAAACAAAAAAAATATTTTTAAATGTGGAAAACGGTTCCGATTCTGGCTCGACGGCTGCAAATTGTCCGCTCATGAGTTGCAGCTTAGTTGGCTATAACCGAGAAAAAAGGACAACAAATGGAATAAAAGGCAATGGAGAAACAGCTTAGAGGAAACAAAACCAAAGCAAAAACAAAAAATAAATAAAAACTGGAAAGCCAACTACTGGCCAAGAGTCCATAAAGCTTTCTCCCCTTTTTTTTTTTTTTCTACCCCCATTTAAACCATCTCTGCCCTCAAGTACGCACTTCAATTAACTGTTTTACCAGCGCCAGTTTGTCCAAAGGCGGCGAACGGAATAAAATATAAAAAAAAAAAAAATGAACTTTAAAATATCCGTCCAGTTGGGAATAAAAGTTTATTGAATATCGTAAATGTTTACGACACACAAGGAGTCACTTCCTTTTGGCCAGATTCAAGTTCAGTGAAGTCAAATTAAAGTTGTTATTATGGCTGCCCCTTCACTCTGGTGTTTGTCTCCTGGGAACTTCTGGCTCGGCTGCGGTTGCCTCCTTTTGGTTGTCTCAAAGCGATAAAATTTGAGATTTATATGACAATTAAATGGCTCAATTAGGCTACACCATGGTAATTGCGGTATTGAATTATGTGCAAGTGTGTATTAGAGGGGTTGAGAATGGGGTTAAGGGTCCTGTTTTCAAGTGCCAGAAGTGTGAAATCTAATTAAATTCCAAGGTGCCGCCTTGGAAATCGAAAATGTGTAAAGCAACATATGGGATTGCTATTTGTTTGCCAAGGAAATCAATGGGGGTAAGTTAAGGGGCTAAGGAAATACATTTTCTAGGGGTTTCCATATAAAATATAGTTTAAAATATACTAACAAGGAAATCCTTATGATTTTCCATCTTTCTAAGCCAAAAGTATCACAAATTTCTAGCCAAAACGAAGGAAAATTCTTAGGGATAATAATTGAAAGCATAACTCAGGCTTAAGGTTTTTCTTTAACCGTTTTTACTTAACCCATAACACCTTTTATGACTCCATCTTTCCTGTTTATTACATGACCACATAAATATGATCATTTGCTTCATATTGAGAAGTTTCATTACGATGACACAACGACCAGTCAGTGAAAAACTCATTTCGTAAAAAAAGCAATAATACAAAATACTTAAATAGCCATCAAAAATACACTTATGAGGCATACAGCAGGCCGTAAATGCCACCCACCAACAGCCAACAACTTTCCTTTCCTTTCACAAAAGCCATCGTTCAAACTACAAACTGGTCGCACCTCATGTTGCCGTCTCTTTTCCTGGACCAGCTACCTTTCTCTTTCTGCTGGGCCCAGACCGAACACATCTGGTGTGCACGTCCTTCTTCCAGCTCGTTGGGCTCAAGTTTTATTTGTCGCAAAAATATTTCATTGTTGCAAGTTCATAAATAAGCATATAAATTTAATTTAATGCAAGGCAACAAGGATCTAGGCTGGCTGTCAGCCTTAACAATGTCCCTCCCGGCTGTGTATATGGAATTATAGATGGCGCTTTATATATATGTACGCAGTATATAACCACACTTTTCGAGCTTATTAATGTCGCCTTCACGTAAAGAAGATTCCATTTAATAACCAAGTAGAGGGTAATAAAAAAACTTGGGTCAAGTTTGGCCTGGCAAAATGAAAAAATTAATCCCGTCATGTTCTAGACGCGCGTAGTAAAACTAGTTTTAATGGCCAAAACAAAGTTGGCTGCCAAAAATAAGGAAAGTAAACTTGAGGTACTTCCAATTTTAGGTAGTAAAGCAGAGCACTTGAGGTGGAAAATATGGTTACCTGGAAGAAGATTCAAAGAAGCGATTTTCTCGAAAATCCTTAAGTCAACCTCAAAGAAACACCGGCCATAAAAACCAAATATTTACTGTATTCATATAATTGAAGTCAAGAGGAAAATCCTGAAAATTGGCCACTGTGTCCTTTCGTTTCTGATAAGAAAATTGGTTGAAAGGAAAACAACAGGCCAAGCTGAGCTGAGGCTAAATGTCCTTTGGGGATTGCCTTAAAGATTAAACGAATCGAAATCGTAAGAAAGAAATTGTAATAAGAAAGAGAAAGAAATTACTGGCTATCAAATTTACAATTGAATGAGAAAAACTGAAAACTGAAATAATAATTGAATTTTTCAACTTTACATTTTCAGTCAATTTCATGGAGAAAACTTCCATTATTCCAACTTAATGTTGAGGTATGACCAAGTTTCCTCTTACTCACAATTTTTTGATTTACAATTTATACGTTATTCGTCAAAGTCATATGGCCAGCGTGCGATAAAGCCACAATTAAGCTGGCCAACAAGTCAGTTGGCCAATTTATGGCCCAGCTATCATCGCCCACAACCAGCGTTTATCTTGAGCTGTCAACAAGAATGCCAAAAACGAAAAGATTTTCAATAGAACCAGACCAAAAGTTTCTCCAGCTGGCCCAGAAAATACCCGTCAACTGATAAGCTGATAATTATAATAATAACTTACTGACTAACAATGACTTCTGGCCCAAAGGTCACGTACAAATTTAAACGAAATGAGGCAATAATCCGTAAGGGATTTCCCAACTAATTGGCCTAATGGTTTACTCGAAAGTTTATTACTTTTGAATATACATTTTTCTTCAGGTTTTTTCTTAGCTCAAAAGAAAGTTTAACAACATTTTCTTTTGCTGAATTTCTTTCCAGGAAGAGCCACACACACACACATTTTTTCAAGTGACAAACTTTTGCGTCAAACTTGAAAGATTATAAGTTTTGCCGAAAAGGATTATAAACTTGAAAATATTTGCAATCAAATTGAATTGCAAGATTAATTGAAAGATATCTTAAGACCCAAAGAAAGGCAGTGTGACTGTCTTAAAGTAAATCCCTCGCTTGATTTTCCATTTCCAAAGCTAATCAAGCCACAAAGCCTAAAGCTAGCTCATTGCCAAAAAGCTAGCTCATTGCAAAGGCAGTAAAAAAACAAAACTATTAATTAATATGTAAGACAAAATAATAATAATAATAATAAAAAGAAAAATGAAACCACAAGGGAATAGAAATACAAATAAAAAGCAAAACCAAATCAAAAACAAACCACGAAAGCACAAACAACAAATTAGCAACAGTCGTTAGTTTATTCTCTCTCTTTCTCCCGTCTATCTACCGCTCTCTTTTGCACAACAAACTTTTCCAAGGTTTTGCTGCAAAGTTCCTATTGTTCTTGGCCAAAACACAAACACATATAGCCATAATGGTTGGGCCACAGCAATACGATATGGAGACCCAATAAAATCTTTGGATGATGCACTTTAAGAATTATTTATTAAAAAATATAAAAAAATTAAAAACTTTGTAAGAAATGTATTAACTTAAAAGAAATCGCATAAAAAATAATTTTCTTGGTTTTTTAAAACAGATTTTTTTAGCATCTTTTCTGAGGATTTACTTTTTAAAAACCAAAAATAATTTCAAAAAAATATTTAAAAATATTTAAAAAATATTTTCCTATTTTTAAAGCCTTATTAACTCTCTTCTTAATTTCTTTCAGTCTATGAGGACCTCCAAAAATAGTTGCCTGCACTTTAAATATTGATTTTAAGCCCGCTTTTGGGACTCTTTCAGTTTTCCTTCCAGCAAATGTTTACAAACTCAAACCAAAAACTCAGAAAGAAGACTGAGTTGGAGATAGTCGATTGGTGGGATAGGTCATCAAATAAAGACGAGCCTTTGTCTTTGCGGCCATTGGCAAACATGTTCAAGATACTTTTGTTTGTTAGCAAGCCACCCAAAAGCATTTTCCCCCATTCAGGCATAATTTGCGTGCCCAATGAGAGAGAGAGAGAGCCTCAATGGTAATTTGAATGGCAAACAAGTAGCTATCAGATACGTTTGTGCTTTGTCCATCTATTTAATCGGCATTAGTCAAAGGCAGGCCAGGCAGGAAACTCCCAAATGCTCCCAAATGCCATCATTAGATTCTCAGAAATTATGAAACACCCAAACTGAGGCTTGAATTTCATACAAAGTGAATTTAATTTATGATTCTTGCAATTGATTAGATAATCCCACCGCAAGCACTTTAGATTGTTCTTCCTAATCAGGCTCCTTTCGTTGGTACTATCAATGATTGCTCTAGACATGTGATTTATATGGTCAACTAGTTTTGATTGTTCTTAGTTTTTCCTCTTTTCTTTCGGTTCTTTAGTTTCTTTCGTTTCCTTTCT